ACACACACACACACACACTCAGTTGTGTCCCCATGAGAAGACTTAAAATTGACTTACATTTCCTGGAGACTTACTTTAACCCTTACCCTCACCTTAACCTAACCTAAGCTTAAGTTAAACCTAAACTTAATCTGACCATAAAACATGTTTTTACCTCAAAATTGAATGGACCATATTTTTGTCTTCCCTATTAAAAAGACAAGTCCCCTCAATGTGACTGCGCAAATATGTGGACCACAAACACACCACGTCTTCCTTTCCTCTCAGGCGTCTCATTGTCTCTGCTGGTGAACACACACACACACACACACACACACACACACACACACACACTCACACACAAACACACTGAAGAAAACTATTATCTCCCGTCCACCTGCATATGTAAGAACACTAGACACTGCTCAAAGCTTGAGTGAAAATAATCTTGATTTTCTAACCAAGGTCACATTCACACAGGTGATACTTATATAAAGTAAAAAAGAGTTTTGAATTGTGGAGCTTTATCTTCCAGTTTGAGATGTTTACAGCCCATGTCCATATGTTTTTGTTTTACTCCCCCCCGCTGACATCCATCTGTCTGTTTATCATTAACACAAACTGGTGCGGTTGCCATGGCTACAGGTGCTCTGCATATCCGACACCTGAGGAAAGGCTCGACATTTGTTAATCTGAGCACACCTGCTGACAGCACAGATAAAGTCTGTTCAGACACGAAGAACAAACACACTGGAAGCTATGTATTTATTAACACAAGTTTTCCCACAGAGAAGTAAGGAATCAACCAAAGAAGAATTCCATGTTAATAAGAGTTGGCTGAGAAGTTAGACACCAGTCCATTAAATACAGTAGAAACATGGAGGCAGGACATTGTTAGCTTTCAATTCAATTTGTTTAGCCCCAAGTCACAATATAAAATATCTCAAGGCACTTTGCATCGTAAGGTCGAGAAATGACAATATCATAGAGAAACTCAACAATCCCCACGATGAGCAAAAAGTTGGCCACTTTGGAGAGAAGCTACCACCCTGCAGTAATTTTAACTTTCAGCCTAAAATATTTTATTCCAGACTCATATAACGAGACAGTGACCCATCATCAAATAATTCAATCAATAAATAACAAATGGGCAAAATTTGAAGAAACTCCCTAAAAGCAAACTTGAGATATCTTGTTTTAGAGACTTAAAATATGTTTTTTGAGGCAACACAAATCTAAGCAGTTAATCTGTGAGTCTCAGTCAACATTTCTCCCAAATTTGAAAGGATCCTCTTTAAGGCATTTTGGAGATAACATGTTCACAAGGCAAAATTGAGACGGAGGGGGAACCCAAAAAAAGAACACTTCCGGCCGCTGGCGGCCACCAGAGCTGAGGAACAGGTTACCTGCTTAATGTGCTACATGTCCAAGACTTTATGAAATAACAACTTCTCTCTTCTTCCCAGGTTTTCTCATTGTTGATTGTTGCAATCGGGGTGTATGCTAAAGTCCAGAAAGCTACAGGTAGATATGTGACACACTTTTTCAACTTCAGAGACAAATGAAAAGACTTTTCCATAGTTCTGAAAATCTAGAGGGATTGTTTATTCTCCTTTATCACACTGACACTTGTTTTATTTGTTGAGCTACCCCAACTTAAAGCAATAGCTTGTAAATGTATAGTATGTTGGCACGTTTCAGTTTTATCTTCAGTTTATTTAGTGTCATTATGTTTATAATTATTTTAGTAATATACAGAAGGTAGACAGTGAAAATATTTAACTTGGACTCATCCCACAGATTATGCCTCAGTATCCTGTATAATCAGCAACAGATCATTGAATATTAAAAGCAATGGAAGTGGCCAGTGTTGAAAGGAAGGATGCAGGAAGCAGTGTAACAGGGAAGAAGACATTTATTTTTGAGGGTAAATGAGGTAAATACCAGGAGGGGAAGGAAGTAAAAGCGGGAACAGAGGAGGACAGACGAGTAAACAGAGGCTGTTATGTTCCTGTCTTTCTGCCAGACACGGTGCGGGACACGTTCCTGATCGACCCAGCTGTCATCCTAATTGTGGTGGGGGTGGTCATGTTCTTCATTACTTTCTGTGGCTGCATCGGAGCCCTGCGAGAGAACATTCGCCTCCTCAAGACAGTAATAGAAAAAACAGACACCTCACTAATACTGGGGCTGTGTTGTGCTTCCGATGTGGTAGCTTAAATCACATTGAATCCATCTTACGTCTCAGACAGTCATTTATGTTTCTGCTTCAGTCAGACTGTGTTTTCATACTTGTGTCCTCTCTGTCTGTAGTTCTCCTTCAGCCTGACTCTGGTCTTCCTCACCCAGTTGGCTATAGCCATTATGGGCTTCTTCTACTCCGATCAGGTATCTGCCTCCACACCATCTTAGATTTTCCGTAACATAAAGTCACTACAAGGTCACATTCCATCTCTGGTTCTCTTTACACCAGCATCGACCCTGAATGACACTCCGCTCCATTGATTCGGTGTATTCTTTCCCAGCTTTTGGACATTCTGTACATTTGTAAAGTACAGTCTATAAAACTTAATAAGAGGGCACAGATACATTTGACTCCACAAATGGACGCAATCGGCCAAAGACTTGACATAAAAATGGACGACATGTTTCCACATCTACCAGCTGAATAAAAGTGAAACCAAAATACTCTGAAAACTATTTTGCTCTTTTGAGAGTCTCAGGTGTAAAAATAATGTTTAACCTTGTTTTTATAGCATCGAATAACTAATGAAAACCAAACTTACTGGAAATATGAACAATCGCCACTGAAACTGAAACACCAGTTTGAAGGACTATCCAAATGAACAGACGGCATCTTTGAAAAATAATTATTTGATGTGCACTTTTACTTTTGAGTTTTGTCCATGTCCCATCTGTTAACATGGCTTCACTTTTGGAAGCTGTCAAGTAGTCTATCTTAATATACAGTCTACACACACACACACACACACACACACACACACACACACACCAGTACACACAAAGATCTGTGTGTGTGTGTCTGTGTTTGTCTATCAACACTTCAGAAGTACTGTATATGTCCTTTTATTTTTAAAGACAGCCAGAAAAAAATGACCATTCAATTTATTTCTCTTTGGTTCAATATGTCTAATTTTGGTTCAATAAATGTGGAGTTATTCCTATTTGTAATATTAACACTGCACAAAGTCATTAACATCCATCACAGCATGAACACAAACTTTCTGTTTAAACTTCAACCTTCAGTACTGGTTAAACTCTGATAGCGGATGCACACATTTTCCATTTTACCTCCAAAGAAAAACAATCTATTTGATGATTTTGTGAACAAACTTGACTTGTATAAGTTATGACTGACAACTTTTTTGTTCATGACAAATTAAAACAAAGCAGTGGCCTACATGTCGCCTGTATATCATTCATTACAGACACAATCGCAATCACTCAGGTGGTGGAGAGACGCCGACTGAAATGTGCTGAAAATGAAACCAAACAGTAAATATTTAGAAAGACGTCTGTTTGGTCTTTCATGAAGCTTAATTAGCAGCAAACATTTTAAACGCTGCTGTTGACAGGAGCATGTTCTCCATCATTTCCTGTTACCATAATATGGTAAATGATGTTGATTTCTTGTGTATAAACAGTATAATATTTAACCAGGAGGAAGAAGAATAAACATCATTTTTGGGTGACAAATTCTTTTTTTAACCTATTTATAAAGAAAATATAAATCCAACTGTAACTGCAAACTGTATGTTAGAGTAAATGGTTTCTGGTTCCATCTGAGCCCCATATGTGACCCACAGTGTCTGATCTGGAGGCCACTGTCAGCATTCAATTATCTTTACAGTAACTTTGCATTAGGACTCCATGGAGAATAAAAACAGCCACTGGCACCAGTGCTCCCTGACACTGGTTTCTAGTGGTGAAGTGTCTGATGCCTGACGATACCTCTCGTCTCCCCTGTGTGCTCTGTCAGCGCTCGGACTGCCTGCTGCTAAACAGAGCAGTTTAACAACCCTCCCAGCATCCTTCCTTGCTAAATGATTCAAATGCTTCGGCACTTCAAAGAGGAACCAAATGTTCCATTTCAACAGATCCCTTGAAGGAGACATTGGCGCTAATGACATTGGGAGGTGTGACGATGGGCTCCGAGGCCCTACTGAAACAGAGGGAGGGGACGGGGGGGCGCCGTAAAAATCCTAACAAAAATTTAGTAAAATGACTTGGGGATAAGAATTTTAGGCTATTTTGATACAGCTCACAGTTTTTATCAACATAACCTGTTCTAACACGGCCTGTTATACGAACAATTCAGAGAGCCTTCAGCAAGGCACTAACAGAAGTTCATTTCAGGCTTAATGAAATTTTAAAGTTCAGCAGCTTATTAGCATACAGCGCCGCTATTAGCATACATTACATCTGAACTCAAGTCTGTAGAACCGTGGCCCTTCTTGTTTTTAAAAGAGGGAGATTTGCATTGAATACCTTTTCAAAACTTTATTTATACTGTATGTGAGAATATAATATATAAATATTAACAAAGCAGGGGCCTCATAAAACTCTGTGAATGGATTTATTACAATGAACAATGAGAGCAAACTAAAGCAGCACAGTTTCAATGTCTGAATTAACCATAAAGTCTGAAAATTACACATTATTCAATCAAATCATTGTATTTCATATTTCATCTAGGTTTTATTAATTCAGCTCAAGTGAAGTTCATGAAAATGATTAAATTATAATAACAAATGGGGAAGTTCATGCAATTATCTGCCACAGCTGAAGAAGCGTAAAAGCTGCACATTTGCATTGATCTCGAAGGCTTGGCTGCTTTAATTATCATTGTTATTCTGCACTGCTGCAGCATCGCACTGCAACAGGAGTTCCTGCTCCTCTGCTGTCTTGTTTAGATAAACCCCACATTATGCTCCTGCACCATGAACCGGAGGATTTTCTGCCGAACCCTAATGGAAGCAACTTTCCTTAGAAACATCCAAATTAGCTGAACCTGAATTTTTTTTAGCAACTAAGTAGCCTGGTTATAGAAATAATTCTTTCACCTTGACACTTTCATGAAAATATTAAAAAAATGAATATTTAAGGAGACATATTATGTTCAGGCTCGTATTTTTGGTTTTGGTTATTTCTTTTTAACGTTTACATGCTTTAACATTAGGAAAACACATCACAGTCCTCATACCGTCCATCGCTGAAGCTCCTCTTTTCAGCCTCTGTCTGAAACTCTTGATTTTAGCTCTTGTCTCTTTAATGCCCCCCCTCCCGATAAAGCAAAGTTAACCCACTCTCTTGTGATTGATCAACTGATTCCAGCTCGTGCAGGAAATGTTACCCTCCTTCTCATTTTACCTGGTTTTGTAAGGGGTCGTGCTGGATTGACCACTAGGTGTGCATTGTGCAAATGTCATCCAGTGTACCGGCAGAACACTCATTTAACGTCTCTGTATTCTCTCTCCTAGACTCGGGATGCTTTGGGAAAGTTTGTGAAGAAAGCCATCGTGCATTATAGGGATGACCTGGATCTGCAGAACCTGATGGATTACATCCAGAAAGAGGTGCTCTGGGCGATCCCACACTGTAATGAATGTGCTTGTATGTGCTTATGTAGCTAACCACACAACATAAATCTTCAAATTAATCACAGCCTGTGGTGTATTGAATATGTCTTGAGTGCTCAACCATCAAACCACAGCCAGTGACCACAGAGGTGTACGTCTTGTATTTGTTATCTTGGCCTCAGTGAGGGTTTTCCACATGAGACGCAGCATTAAAACATGTAGTTCTTGTATCTGTGAGTCTGCTCATGTGATTCTCCTCTTGCACATGCATACACAGGTGAACTTGTGATCCTGAGTTTTCCCATGTGAGAAGACCAGACTGGCAGAACACAGTCCAATGCAAGAGCATGATTCTAAATATAAACCTCTGCTGTATTATCCTCTCTCTCTCTCTTTCTCTCTCTCTCTCTCTCTCTCTCTCTCTCTCTCCTTCCCTTCGTACAGTTCAAGTGTTGTGGGTGGAACAACTACACAGACTGGTCTTGGAATCTTTACTTCAATTGCACACATACAAACCCAAGCACTGAGCGCTGCTCTGTACCTTACTCCTGCTGCACTCCTGTTCCCGGAGAGGTGCGTACTTTTTACAAAAACTCAAAACAGACTGGCATCAGTATAGCGATTACCACCCCCAAGAACTAACAATCTAATTTAATTCAATCAAGCTGCACCAAATTACAGACACAAGTGTTCCTTGGGAAAATGTCAAAAAATGCCCTCACAATATCAAAGACAGTGACAAAAAAAATCTTTTGATCCACGTCACAATTTGATGGGTTCTTTCTGGGCCCATGTCCCATCATTCCACGAAATTTCCTGGAATTCCATTCTGCAGTTTTTGCGTAATCTTGGTGACAAACAAATGCTACATGTAAAGAAGGCTCAAGAGGTTTAGCGGGCTGTCAACTAGTTGGGAGGTCGGTGTTCAAATGCGAGTTGCTTTAGTGCTGAAGTGAAAGGCAAGAAGTGTGAGAATGGGATATATGAGTGATAGACAAAATGTGCTGAATGAATGTGTGGTAATGAACGTTTCAAAAGCACTTTGAGTGTTTTTTTTACTTCTGTAAAGTCATTTAAATTTTTTTTTAAAAACTTCAAAGAATGATGGTGTTCGGTTGAATACCAATTAGCAGCATTTGTTAGCGATGAAAAAAGGTTTCTGAATAATGTGAAGCAGCAAATTGAAAGTGGTCTGTGCAAAAACCTGTTGCATCAGTCAGCAAGGACACGGTGTAATTGATTCAGAACTTCTGACAGTGGGTCCAGCCAGTACGTTCCAGTTTAGATTGAATTGAAGACAATGATGTAATGTTTTCATTATTGTGTTCATCTAAATTGTATGAATAGTTTTCTTTATACTTACATTGGGAGAGGCTCCTCTCTACGGAGGCTGCCATGTTTGGTTTTTTTTCCATTCGTCCAAACTGGACTGAACTAGTATTCAGCTGCAACATGCAACTTTACCACTAGGTGTCACTAAATCTTACACACTGAACCTTTAAATCAATATAAAATATCGGAGAACTGCAAATCACCTACACGCTAGGAAATTATTTCTGAATATATGATACCTTCGTGTTAGCCAGGTCCCAAACCTCATTCAACTCCTAGTTAGAGAAACAATCCAACTGTGTTGCTTGAGACATCAGCTTCCTACACAGCTGGGTAGCAACCAGGCTACATGAATAGTGTGAAAAAGAGCAACAGCTACAGGAGCCACTGTGGATGAGATCGACACAGCAGCACCAGCTTGTGTGAGTCCACTTTACAGCATCGCTTCAATCAATACATTTGCTTTGATGAATGTGAAAACCGATAACTGCTCTTCACAACCACTACTGCTGCTCCCACGTTGACTGAAAATGACATCGGCCAGACAGATACATCACTCACTGCTGATTGATGAGGCAAAACTGAAACAAAAATACACCCACCCACCAGATATCGGCTAACATGAACTCAATGTCAGCGAGAATGACTAACATGAAAACTCAATTTTGTGATTATCCGGCTCAAGTTTATTTCTGCTTCTGTTTTCATTCAAGTTTACGTCTGCATTAGTAGTCACATATTTGGGTATTTTGACCCCTCGCCTTGCACAAACCAACCGCTATTATGTGTGAATCCAAATGATCCAATGCATACCACGTACCAAACAGTAATTACTTTGTGGACTAGTTTATTATGAAAAACTGAATTGCATTATTTTGACTTGATATGTAAGTGGGTCAAACACTACAGAAGGAGTTTGTTTCTTTGCCTTGTTGCGTTTCCACCACAGACTCTCTATTAACAGTCTATTCAAAACACTGGAAATAATAGATTTAAGATGATTTCAGACATGCAGAGTACTCTGCAGATGTTCTCTAGCTGCCCCCGCCCCCTAGTTAAAAGTACACAGAAAGTCTGGAGAAGCCAAAGTAAGAGCACAGCAGGAGATCCTCTGCAGGATTCACCACAAGTTTTTGGTATTAAGGGTGGATGCTGGTGTTGATGTGCTGTAAACACCAACACGTGATCTCTGCAGCAGAAATAAAACTTTATGTTCTGCCTCTGCCTGCTCTGCCACCGTTGCCGTAATTTTTCTCTGAAGATTTCTGTGTCATTGTCTGAGCAGAGCTCCTCCTGCTGTGTTGTTCATGTGTGACAGTCAAACTCCAGAGAAAGTCTGGACCTGATTCTCAGCATATCCTCGGGGAGGTCATGTCTGAAAACTGCTTTAATGTAAGGAAACAGCCCCAACCAGAAGGTTCCTGTACTTTACAAGTGTTAGCCCCAAGCAAAGCCTTTTCCCCCTGGAACTAAATGTAGACACTGGTTCCTAGTTCCTGGGAATAGTTCTTGTGGTTAAAACACTGCTTTTAAGTATTTTATTGACACGAGTCAGCTCCTGGAGGTGGATTTCAATCTAAACAAAATCAGGCTGCGGTAACTGCATCAACAAAGATTGACAGTGTTCCCGAGATGAATCAAAGCTGAAACCAATTCAGCTTAATCACCCTATCTGACATGCAGCCAACAGTAACATCAACCTTTAGCAGAATTGTCAGTGGTGACTTCGCCTCCTCTTTCATGAATGTTTTATATATTTCTAGACCTGGAATCAACACATGCATTTAAAAAATGAAATGTAGGGTTGCATTCTAACACAAACAGTATGTTAATCGTGTACTCAGTGTAATCATACATGCATGAGTACGCAAATTCCCACTCACACAAAGAAATGCCCTGAATCTCACTCTGTGCAGACACACAGCAGCACGGCAAGTCATCGCTGACAATTCCTACTAGTGTGAAGACAGAAGACTAAAGAGTCCATGCAGATCCATCACACTAATATTGATTATACATCATGCTACACAGAAAACAGATCACAGCAGCCTCCTTCTACAGACTGGGGGGGAAAAATCAATTAATTAAAGATGATTGGAGCTGAAACAGTGCTGCAACCTGCTGTTCGTAGCCTGCAACTGCACGGCTACTTCAGGGACAGAGTCACATCTTCCCTGTCACATTAAATGGATGCAGTTATATCGTCTCTCTTGTCATTTCCTTTTCTTAAATTCCAAATCTCTGCAGTTAGCAGGCTTCCACAGAACTCTCCCTCGGCTGTCATAATAGTTAATACCTTTGTCAATGCAAAATACTGCAAGAGATGTGAAACAGCAGCTCGTGTATTAAAGTCCTTCAGGTTGGTATAATCGAGACAATCTGTCACAGTCTCTCTCTCTCTCTCTCTCTCTGTCGATCTGTCACATAGGCAGTGATTAACACTATGTGTGGTTTTCGGGTTCAAACCCAGAACTACCTGGAGGCAAACAAGTCAATCTACCCAGTGGGCTGTGCGGACAGGGCGGTGATGTGGATCGAGTCTCATCTGCTGCTGGTGGGGGCGCTCGCTCTGGGACTGGCCTTGCCGCAGGTAACTGGCATACATGCAGACACTTCTTCACTCAAGCTGTGCAGTAACAAGTCAACAGCCGTCACACACACACACACAAACACACACAAACACACACACATGCACGTCTCATATTGACATAATTAATTCCCTAGCCCCTTGCCCTAAACTAAACGGTCCAGTGTATAAGATTTAGGTGAAATCTATTGGCAGAAACTGAATATAAAATAATCCTAGTGATGTTTTCACTCGTGTGTTTCATCTAAATTGTACAAATTGTTATATTCTTTATCCTAGAATGGGCCCGAAAACTGAAGGCTGAGACAGGTTCTCTTTCATGTTTGGAAGGGGAGAGTGAGGTGAAGGATTATTCTGTTGAAAAATCCAACTTCACCTCTAGATGTCACTAAATTCTACACACTGAACCTTTAACCATCACAACTAAATGCCTGACCAAAACCAAAACCTAATTCTAACCCTAAAGACAAGCCTTTGTGAGTACCAGTCAAAATGTCCTCCATAACTACAGACGGATACACGCACAGACACAAGTCAACAGGAGCATCAACTGGAGGCGTAGCCAGACTGAGCGTGTAGCAATCAACATATCGACTGCTCCTGCTATCCTAAAGCAGCCTCGCACGGTGTATTTGGACGGGCCCGCAAAATAGTCTGAGCAGCACTTCATCAATCAGGATTCTGCACCTTCCCTCAAGTTACACACGTAGGAACATCAATTTTTGAGCTTCCAGTGACTCCGCTGCACGAGTCCAGCCGCTCTCGCATGAAATAACCCCGGCCTTACACAAAAAAGGGGGGAAAAGAATCTAATAAAAAACTTTTTCTTGCAGAGACCAACAGGGTGTTTAGGTTAATGTGAGGCCACTGGAATATAGCTAATTCAAAATTGAGAGTTATACCAAGACGGCAATAACTAGGCACAAAGGGACAATTAAATTTTAACTGCACATTATTCATTTATTACACCGCTCTGGATCGAAAGCGCAGGTTAATGTGCAAGTGAGGTAGTGACCTGCGCGATAATGTGAGATTATGTGTCAGAGAAAGGAGGATACTGACAATTCAAACCTCTATTTACTCAGCACCGCCACACAAAGCAACACAAATCCCAAGCATTAAGGAATGCTAATAACTCAAGTCAATATGTTAGATTGGCCATGAAATCACATTAGCTCTTATCAAGAGCTGTCTCTAAATAATTAGTCCACCTTCTTATCAAGATGATTCAGGTACTGTCACAGTGCATTCTCACGCAGCGTGCTGCTTTGTCAGTGGATCTTTAGCTCGATCTATCTCGCTCTCATATCTGCCTGATTGGGTCCCTGATGATTCCACAGAGGGGGGGAAGCATGTGAATTACCCATGAGTCCTGTCATAACAATTGCATCAGTATTCAGGTTGCTTTGATGTGCAGTAAATCTGATGATGAAGTTCTCTCTTCTAGTCTCGCACATCTTCGCTAAACACCATTACTCGATTTATCTGCAGAACAAGCTGGGTTTAAATCAGACGGTTAATTATTAAATAGGTCAGTTAACAGCAGCGTTTGCCACCAAATGTGTGTTGTCGCAGTGAGAAACACTTTATTATCACCTCTATAGGAAGCGGTTTAAGGGTTACGATCCTGTAAATTGTGCAAGGCAATAAAATCATGTCAAGTGTCTGTATCATGCAAGCACTTTTATCTCATTTCACAACATGTCGTCCCAGTGCAGAATGAGCACTGCAGCACCGAGGCACTTTGAGATGCTCAGCACAGGGTGTACAGTTACCAGGAGTCTGTTCTGTAATCTACATTGGCAGCTGCTGTCCTCTAGATTGCAGGGATCGTGCTGTCCCAGATCCTGATCTCTCAGATCCAAGATGAGATTACCTCAGTGTTGTGAGAGCGGCCCGACGCAGGGGGAAGAGGAGGGAAGAAAAGAACTCACGCAAGGACTTTTTTTTTTTTTTTACTGCTACAGGACTTCTGCAATGTTTGAATACATTTCTTATTCTTAGCTTGTGATGCACTTTATTCTGTTACACTCTCACATGCAAAGTGTTTATTTATTGAATTATTTGTATTGCTGTTGACATGAAAAGCATTTAAATAGAATGTGTCATTAATAAAATTCAGGGAAAGACATCCACAGACATCTGCACTTAATAGAGAAGCCTGTTTTGGTAAAAGCATGGAAAAAGATTTAGCACCTGATTAAAACTTAACAGGTATGAAATCTAAAATATACTCTACATTGAAAACTTTGAAGATTTCAGCAAGCTTGACAACAGTCTCAAACAGCTGGTATAAAAGTCCCCTAAAACCAAACATGGCCCCATCAGATTCTGTGTCTGCTGATGTTACTTTCATGTTTATTGTATGGGAGCCGCTCTTGTCGCACCTTGCAGTCATCCTAGACGTGAAGAGCCAGGGCTCTCTGCATCAGACGACCAGTCAGGGCGGAGTTTGGCCTCGCGGCATCACGCTCAACTAGAAGACATCTGGAGGGATTTAGCAGAACACAGTACATGGAGATGAACACAGATTCAGAGAAAGTACACGCTGAGCGGCTAAACTGATCAATAATGAAACTGTTACATGGGCTGTAGACGGGGGGGATGTCGGTTACTTAATGGGAGCATATACAGATAGTGTTCTACATGGAGACGACAGAGGCGGAAGACAACAGGAGCAGATGCGGCTATACAGCATCACCATGAAAACCAGGGGAAGAACTTTTTAGTCTTTCTTGAATTCTCTCAGCAGAATCTAGTAAAGAAATTGGAAAACACTGAACTAAACCTCTGTTTGGCTGAAGTCCCGTTGTACATTACCTTCCCAGTTTCTGGTGGTGCTTATCCTCTGATTTCAAGGCGGCATGAATTAGCAGTTGATTGAAGATATCCCTCTGAAAACAACAGTGGACAAACCCATTAGTAAAGAGTTTTCTCCAATATTGCACTGTGTGTAGTCTTTCTATCCTTTGGTGTTATTCTGTATACTTTTGTACGGTAAACTGTTGCACCTTGGAGGATGGTTTTATGAACACAAAGGACATAAAATCCATCAGCATCCATCACAGAGATTCATTATTCATACCCTGGTGCACTGTGCAACACATTCTCTCACTGTGTAACATGTTCATACACTGAAAGGCTTTCGCTCTTATGTAGAGTGTTCTTCACCTCTGGCCTTTTTTTCACTTCAACAGGGATTTCAGTTTTACTCAAGAAAACCAACAACAAAACAACGTGATCGATAATATTCAAATAAATAAAGCCTCAGGGCTGAGTGCTTGTTAAAGGTAAATAAGAGAGCTGGAGTTTGCAATTAAGTTTGATTTTGTTTCAAGTTTTTCTTGTTTGCTTCGAGTTGACCACATTTCTGTGGAACTTACCTGAGCATCGCTGCCGCCGATATCTACTGCCCTGTAGCGTACAGGGTACAGGAGCTCCACAGCTCCGCTGTAGTTGCCCTGGTCGTACTCCATCAAAGCCTGACACATGGGTACACCTAAAGTTCCAGCCAGCTGGTGTTGCTGATTGTCCCCTGGATCCCTGTGAAGAAAATGAATGGTTTGAAAAGGAAAAAAAGACATATCTTGGTTGGAAAGTTTAGAAACTAGCTCTCAGGGAAGAATTCTTTATGGATTGAACAGTTAGAATAAACAGACTAAAATACTTGCTAGTAATAACTTCTACATGCACCTCACTGTTTCACCAGGATGGACACCAAGGATGATGTATTTTTACTTTAAATTAATGTTTTGCTAACTTATAAACAGACCAAAGCTTTTGAGCAGGCGCACGAGAGGCAGCACACATAATAAGTGCACGTTTGGAGCTAAAGCAATAGGTATTTGAAATTTAAAACATGATAGGGGGCAATAAAAAATTTCACACAACCAGCCAATGCAAAAGATTTATCGCTGCTGACTGACCACTGAGGCTGAGGAAACTGCTTCTGAAATCTAATATCTCAGAAAAGAAGACACCCAAGGTGAGTGAGAGACAGAAGCTCGGTCGAAAGAGTGAGAGATGCAGATGGAGCGAGAGAAATGCAAACCATAACACTGAATTGTAAATTGACTTTACTGGAGCTCTGCACAACATCGCAACACAAGACAGATGAGACGGAAGAGCAGCAACCTGTTTTATTTTCACTTCATCTTCCTGTTTCTGCAGCGGCCTCCTGCTTGACTATCTTTATTCCTGATTTTTAATGACTCCCAGCAGCTCAGGTCCAGTTTGAAGTAATAGCTGAAAGTTTTTTTTTCACATCTCATTAAATCACTGATCTGTGTTGTGATGACAACATCAGGCTTTTCATGCAACCATCGTTTTGCAGGATTAACGAACAAAGTCCAAGAAATGTCGTCCGAACATGCAATTTGTGTCCCTGAAGGTGATTTGTAACAGGTTTGTAAATATTTCTAAAAAATACTATGTTAAAAATATATTCTTAATTAATTAAAACAACGGTTGCATAGTTCTGCTTGGAAAACATGCATTTGGTTCCTTGAATTAAGATTTAAATTATCCATAGAGAATCTAAAAAGAAGGACTCTCACAATCTTAAAGATTCATTTAAATTTCACTGCATCTACCCTGCTGTTAGTTCCACTCATTAAAAATAAACATTTCCATGTTTAAGTATGAAAATCTGTGAAATCTACGGGATAGCTTCAGGTCGGTGTACTTGTACACACCGACAGTATCAGAGTATTATTATAGTGAACAGTGAACGGCATGAATTCACTTCACTATGAAACATTTCATTCAGTTGTGAGGCCTTCTGGGATTAGCTCATTCTTAGAGTCACTGTGTAAAAACATGAGGACAAAATATGGATTATGTAAAACTGTGCATTCCTTTCAAACAAGTGACACAGTATGTGTGAGTGATGGGATTCCATTACTGCGGCTCGCCTCGTGATTCAGAGTAGAGCTGTGCTAAGGGAGAAAAAGTTGGTGTCTTAATTAGGAATAGAGTGCCTCACTTCCCCCCCCAACTCCTGCGACATGGGTAACATGATGTAACAGTGAAAAACATGAGAATTTAAAGCACTGGTTTTAAACTGCAGCTTTTCTGTGGGTTCTGAGCGAGACAGCATTAAGAGCACAGGCCGTCCATGTTCGGGATGCCAGAACATATTATGACCACAACTCCACAGAGGCTGCAGCTGCTCGTACAACATCTGCTACAGTGGGAAGACCCTGGTCTCCGAGATGGACTGCAGCTCTGAATTCTCTTTCTGGCTGCACGGGCTCGCTATCTTCCCGTCCTACGCTCAGCCTTGTCTCTGCTTTACATAACGGCTGGTTGGCTCTTACGTAAGGCTGGCAGAGCAGCGAGGTGTGCAGCAAGGAGGAGAAATGGTGCAGAACTTACTTAGCCAGTTCCCGGAGGCCCTCCAGCAGACGCTGCGATGTGCCGGTCTCTCTGGCTCCCAGCGACGCCATGAGGAAGTGGAGGTCGTTGAATAAGGTCACATGATCGTCAGTGTGAGGCTGCGTTACCTGGAGCAGCTCTCGCCAGCGGCCCTTCGTGCACACACCTAAAACATGGACCAAAACAAAGACATAAATCAGGGTAGTAGGCTGCATAAAGGCTCCAAATTCATAATTAGATTTTTTTAAACAGAGTAAAAAAATGACACAGCACCTGGGTTTCAAATTAATGAGGTATGATAAATGGGGTTATCTGACCTCCGCAGTTTCACTTTCACACCATTTGAAATCATCTTAAAGCAGATGTTGCAGTTGCCCTTCAGCAAATTAACAACAAGTTAACAAATGTTTGCAGTATTTTCGTCAAGCCAATTAGTGTCATAATAACATTTTCCAACTCACAGCAACGACACACTTCATTTCCTAAGATTTGAACAAACTGTGATCAGTAATGTCCACGACACCGTGAGCGACAGATGGACGCAAAGATCCGAATTCCCTTTTTGTTTTCATCTAAAGGTTTGGGTCAGAGAAGAGCCAATCATATTTTGGGTGCGAATCTGGATCAGGGGCAGATCGAGATTTATTTATTTTTAACTTTCTTTAAAGTGAGATCCAATAAAAAAAATTTCATGTAGTAAATCTAAACATTGTTTCATAGGCGACTGTTCCACCTTGACTGAGGTATGAGCTCTCCTATGTTATTTCTCTTTCATTATTATCTCTATTATCTGTCTTTAGCTGACTTTCTTTCCTCATATCAAATTTGTGAGACTTCTGCGTTCCTCGGTTCCTGTTAATATTTTCTTGCTATGTGCGCGGACAGATGGGGAGACTTGTTTTTATTGCTTTTATTCTGTAAAGCGATTGTGATTTCCTACGTTATCATGCATCTTACCCTCCATTTCCAGTCTGTAGAGCAGTGAACTGGCGTCAACAGTGTCCAACATGGATCCTGTGGCTTTACAACGTCTGAAAACCTGAGAGAAACATGCATGTTCACTATTCACCTTGAACACTGAAGGATGTAACGTAGATCTGCCTCCACACAATGACATTTTCAGAAGAAAAAAAATTGTAAAAAATAAAATAAAACAGGGCAGGCCCATGTTCTGCAGGATTCCCCTGACGTGAGCTGTTAAACATTCATGAATATCATCAAAGTTTACGTAAGAATTTCCTGTTGTGTCAGTCCTGAGTAACATCATGAAATGTTCTTGTATCGTGCAGGACATCAAAGAGCTTTACTCTCAAATCGTCTCTCTTATTTTTAGAGTGAATAAAAAAATCATCATCTGTGGCGGTTGACACAGAAATGGCCGCTGTGTGTTTTGACTTCCATTTGTTCACACTTGCTCTCTCGGATCACCAGAACAACACATTGCTTTTAGTGCGGCTCCCCCGTGCATTGGTACATGCATGGAAGGGAAAAAAACCCAGAGTGTACTCAGACAGATAAAGTTTTTGATGCAAACCCTCAACACAAACCAACCTGAGAGTCGTATATTTGCAGAGCGGCTTCGTACTGCCCCTGTGGAGGAGGAGGAGGAGGGGGTGAGAGGGATGAATTTGAATGACTTCAGACCTGAAAGACGAGCAAGGGTTACAGATCGTGTTGCGCAGATGCAAACACAAATTAATCTCCCGACATAATCAACTGCAGACTTCAAATTACCCAAGGGAAAGGATATCGTAAATACAAGATCCACAAACACTCCCACTGCCAACTACTCGCTTGACTGAGAAAACTCATTATAATCTTTACCTTCTCGATGAAGTATAGAGCCCAATGCCAATAGTTGTGACTGGCCAGGACGTCACACACCTGGAATTAAACAATACATTTTTTATTTCAATTTTCCCCCTGAGGCTGTTTGAATTTTTAATTTGAATGAGTGAACTCGGTAACTGGGATGTGCTTCATCATTAAAAAAAAAACACACTTGTACCTGCCAGTCTTTCTCTCGACTTTCCATGAACTTCAAACCTTTGTCCACTTCTGCCTTCATCTCATAAACATGAGCGACAGAGTGGACGGACCAGGCATCGTCTGGAGTCAGACGCAGGCCCTGCACGGGAGAGTGAATGCAGATGAAGAGAAGAGATGTGTTTGCTACACCAAAGTAAAATGACATTTCAAAAATAATGGGCTCGCCTCACTATCAGTCTTTCATTTTTGTCTAAGATGTTCCTCAATTTTTTTCAAGTGACCCTCGTGTCACAGCTGCTTTGTAAGTCTCACACACTCAACAGAGAAGATTTGCCCTGCCGAGGTTTGGTTCCTCTGCTTGTTATTGGTCTTCGACAGCAAACGATTTTCTGAACTGACACGATCAGAGGCAAAGAGTGGACCACAGAACAAACAGAGGGAAGTCTCACCTCCATCGCCACTTTCTCCGCCTGGTCATAGCAGTGAGTTTCCAGGAGACCAAAGGAATAAAGTCCCTTCAGATAACTGAGAGAAGGAATAAACAAAACAACTCATTGAAAGTACAGAAAGCACCTTCTTCTCACCCTGATCATTTACAATGGATTTGTTAGAGTTGGGTTTTTGGACTTTTGGTTATAGTTCTGGTTCGGCTTGTGTGTCTGTTATTAACTGTTCTGTGTTTGACTGCTGGGACCTGGGGTTTGTTTTATGACCCGACAAATACAATCAAATGTAAAGAACTTGAAATCATATAGCTGGTTATGATTACGTGTACAGTCTATGAAGTACTATGAATTATATAAAGCCTTTGGTCTCAATTAAATTGTATAATAAATCAGTTCTCACATGTCCACTGATCAAATGCACATGTTATTAGTTTATCCTGACATGTAGAGTCAATGAGCTCGGGGATATTGTTTGTGTTGTTCTAAAGACCTTATTCTTTACCCCTGCATCTAGTTTGCATATGATTTTGCCCCAAAATGCTGATGTCTCATAGTGAAATGCTGCTTTTTGTACCTGGACAAAGGAATGTGTGGTTTCCAGTGAGGCAGCACCCTGGCCACGGAGTCTCTCATCTGGGTCTGGGCTCCCAAGTAGAAATATCCATCATGGGCAAACTTGAGGGCCAGCAGGTCAGTGGGGTGATCGACCAGAATATCCTCCCATCGGTCACAGGCCTTGACAAAGTTTCTAAAGGACACATGAGTTAGAGTCTAAGAAGAGCAGGAACGTCCATGAAGGACGACAGAATGAAAGAAAATGCCTTTAATATTTCCACTTATGCTACAATACAATGAGAAAAAACCCCACTGCAGATATAATTCAAATACTTGTTGTTAGGCTGTGACTGGGAGTCACGTCAGTGTAGATGAATGCTGGGGATCTGAAGCATGTGATTGCCTCCATACAGTGGACACAGACAAAGAGCTGCTTGATGAATGGATATCGCCTCATGGATAAAACACATTCTTCAGACTTCTGATGACTAAAAAGACGTCACTATGTTTCCTCTGGCAAGATAATAAACCCAAGTCACGCTCTGATGAGCCTGAATATTGATTCAATATATTAAAAACAACATGCATGTGGACAACATGCAAACAGCTGTGATGTACAGTTTACTCATATATTTATTTATATATATATATTTATATAGAGCGAGGAAGTGAGATGCCGGGTGTGAACTCAGAGCGGTCCACTTATGATCGCCCCCCCCGAGGACGCATGTTAATGTGAGATATAAACAAGGCCTCAGCGTCTATTAAATGCCGTCTGGTAAACACCAGGAGGGCTGTCGTGGTTTTTATTTAAAGTGGAGCCGTGGAGCCGCTCCATCATAATATAGTGATGCTGGGATGGATGCTCTCTCGGCAGGTTCTTCTGAAGCTGAGTTCTCCATCACCTCACCGACCTCGAATCTTCTTGCCCGGTTTCTAAAGTTGACTCTCTTCATCGCTCTCTTCGGTCTTTTCTTTTTTTCCAACCACCTGACTCTGAACCTTACCCACGTGAGAAGAGCTCCATGGCCTTGACATGGAGCTTCTCCCTGGGAGTGATGTCCTGGCTGTTGGCCAGCTCCACCGTTCGAGTCACGGCACTCGCCAGGCGCTCGTTCAGCCGGGTGGAGCTCGCCGTCGCCACCAGCTCCAGCCCTGTGCTCATCACATGGCCCATAACTGCAGGGGAGATAAATCAGACTGCTCTTTTCTTTGTGGACTGTAATTTAAAACACTTGAAACATCATATGCACTCACCGCAACACTGTAACTCTATAAAACACTTGAAACATCACATGTAAGTGTTCTCCTTTTGAACTGCAGAGCACAGATATATCACTGCTTCAGCTACGCCTCTCACGTTTAAAAAAGATAGACATGAAAGTGTTTCATCCCCATCGTGTGCTCTCATGATAACATGCGGATCACTTTGTAAACCGACTTCAAACCACATGTTTATTCCAGACATGAATTACACTTAAAACAAACTCAACACGTGTACTTACAAAGACATGATCCTAAATATTAGTTGACAAATGCTTTGTTCTTTTTCCAAGACTATGAGAAAAAGACAGAAAGACATTTTGGAGATTGGATGTATTGAAATCGGGGTTGAACCTGACGACCTGTACTCAGATGTTGCTCTTACATATAAAACATGAAAAGGTCGGATCATTGGTAGTTTGCCAGTTCTCAGGAGCATAAACATTGAACCTGTATAACAGGAACTTTTAGCGGGAATGTATCTTGTATATTTATTTATACATTTATCTTGTAATTTAAAAGCAGTAACAGGAGTCTTATATTGCAGGTGCTCAGCCTTTTTATTGGTTCTGACTTAGGTTGAAAAGCTTTGGATGTAACCAGAGACAACAACACCTCACATCCATAAAGCAACAATAAAAAGCATTGTACCTGGATCACGGCACTGAGTTTTATATATTTCCTATATTTTTATATTCCTTACATTATATTGCATGTTACATAGTACTAACTGATTTTATTTTTGAAACCTGCTGCTGCAATATTGCAATCTTACCTTGTCTTATCTTTAGCTTCACTAACTCAAAGGTTGCAATTGCAATACTTCTGCAGTGGACCATTTTAGCACCGTTTGCTTCACTCACCTTTGTCCTTAAGTTCTAGCCTTGACCGTTAAACTTTTTTGCTGCTGCGTCAGATTTATTGTGAGAGAGCTTGTCAGCAGGACTTCCCTGGTTAACAAACCTAAAGATTAACTGGCAGGACTGATGTTTGACCCCCTGAATATTTACCAAAGTTAGGATCGGCTGTCTGCAGAGCGGAAATGCATCCTTCAAATCCTCCCAGGGTTTCATCGTTCCTCCATTTCACATACTAGGAGACGAGAACGAGACAAAGATGGATGTAGTTAACTGTCATTTAGTAAAACATGGTGCAAAACGACAGAGAGAGTATTCACCTGTGTCAGTATGGCGTCATAGAGTTTGCATGCCTCATTACTGCTGGTGGAGAGTTCAAGACCCTCTGCCCTCCATGCCTGTCACACACACAGACACACACACACACACACACACACACATTTGATTATTATCATGGTGGAGAATCTCTATATTTGCATTAATCCAACCTCCTTTGAAACCTGAGCCAAGTTAGATGTTTATTATTTGTTTATTAATCCTGAAACATTTCCACAAAATCTATTGGTAGAAACTGTAAAACCAGTCAGAGTCTTGTTTTTGATGCCTATAGATGAACCATAAGACACGTCTTACCTCCTGACTGAGGCTGAGATCATTATTCAATGAAAGGGTTAAAAACAAAACCACACCACCCCTCTAATGATTCTGTTCCTGACTGACTGAGTCCGAACCCTCTGAGCTTCAGGCTGAATCTGAAACCTGACGTCGGACACAAACACTGACCTCACAGTCCCTGAAGCTTGAAGCGATCATGTCTGTCAGCTCCTCAGCAGCTGGAGGAACTTTCACCAAAGAGCACGTGTCAAGTGTCTTTTTACCGGAAGTCAATTTTAGGCACAGCCGTATTTTTCAGAATAACAGCATGAACTACACACAATGCGTTCTTCCTGGTGTTTCGTGTGTTTTTTTTTTTTTTTACGTTTGTGTTTTTCCCGAGTGTGATGATTGTGTGCGTTTCAAATATGAAGAGTCGGTGCAACAGCAGACGCTTATGACGTGCGAGTTTTCTGCTCGTCTCTTATTTTGTGAAGCTTCCTCCCTCGCTTGGTGGTTCCTCAGTTGAAGCTTCACAGATTTCACGGAGGTTCGAGCTCTGGTCCTGAGGCGGGGTTTTCACTCTTGTTGTCTTTTTGGAAGTTTCACAGTAGATCTGACTCCGTTTCCCTCGAGGACCAAAGATTGTGTAACTATCAACACAAGGAAGTGTGAGTCTGTGGTGACACACGTGACGCTTGACTTACACTCACGTGTAGCCGGGAGCACACATGTATATACATATAATACATGGACATATATATGTATACACAAAACTTAATGTAATACATACATGAAACTTCTAATATGTGCTTTTAAATTATGTGTGTTGATAGATAATTACTGTAGTTTATACATACATGCATATGTACTATATTCAGTGTACTATAGAGAGAGGCAGATAGATATTAAATTCATGATATATAGATTATACATATGTGCATACATATGTGTATATATACACAATATTCAGTGTAAGATAGATAAATAAATAGATAATTATACATACTAGCATATGTACATATATACTCCATTCAGTGTACTATAGAGAGAGGCAGACAGACAATAAATACATGCATATGTACATGTATACTACATTCAGTGTAATATAGCGATAGATAGATGGAGCTAGACAGATATATAGATAGAGTTAGAGAGAGATCGAGAGATAGATAGATATAGTAAAAGAGAGATAGACGTAGAGACAGTTAGAAAAGGACGAAAAAGAAATTTCGGTGGACAAACTAGTAAAAGAACAACTGCATTGTTTTATTGCCGTTCTCAGCATACATCCAACACCCCTATGCATTGTAGCTACATGAAGCATTTACATTATGAGTCTTGGGTCATCGGAACGGTTTCAAAAATTAGGATTCATTTTCTTTACATATTATACAGTTTGCACACATGTTAATAAATATCAATACAATCAAGTCAAACTCATCACACGTCATCTACAACAAGAAAACCCTTAAAATTATGTAACACTTTGTATTTACAGCTCATAGCGAGTCATAAATATAGCCTCTAGTGTTTCTGTGCTGTAAAACAGTGACCACCTGGATTTCTTTACAGTTGTCGAAAAGGCTATTAGTTTGACTGCCCTCCAGATAAACCATAATGCTCCTGTCTGATGCGAGGTGCTCATAAAGCTCTCTGCATCTCTTCAGCGCCCCATTTCAAATCCTCTTATTTGTTTTTGCTCGGGGAGCTGCTGATGTAATAAAAGTTTTTGAAAAGAAGTTTAAAAAATTCTCGAGTTCCAGTGGGATGCACAGATGTGACTACCTCAAAAATAACTCAGGAAAAAGTCAAACATAAATTAGACATAGAGAATGCTAATGAAAAAAAAAAAAGGCATCTTGTTCAAGGGTAAAGGATTAACACTGCCATATACTGATCCAAGTGTTGTCTAGTGTGTGTATGTGTACGCTCCTGTTGATTTTGCATATTCAAACAACAGACAGTCCTGTGGCACAAAATGAGTAATGTGAGCTACAATAACTAGAAAGAAATCAGATTCATGAAGGACGATAACATCTCAGTGAGAACATGTGGGAGAAACTCATTTCAACCTGAAGACAGTTTTTTTTCCCCAAGATGAATCCTTTAGCTTACCGAAGCAGGAAACATAAAAATCTAACATTAAACATGGATGAGAATTTGTAAACAATAACGGATCGTGTGGTATACAGTGAACGGCTTCTCACAGAGAGGCCCATCACATGTGAAGTGCTTGACTGTTCATAGAAATGTACAAGTGTGTATTGTGTGTCAAGCTATTTGAGACGTTGTGAGGATCCTCTATGTTCCTAAAACCTTCATTCATGACATGCAATGGCTTACAGGGGGCCTGGGAGTTGTGCACAGGTGCAAGATAATGAAATTCTGGGCACTCTCCTGTTAATGTACAAAAACAAGAATCTTTATCTGTTAAAAGCAAACAAACAGAAAAAAAAATCATAAATATATAAAAACATGGCCATATCTAATGGGCTCTTTGTGTTGACTCACTAAACGCTGTGATGAGAAGAAAAGAGAAACAAGCCTTTCATGGTGTCTGTGGTTCATTAGGATGTAGAAGTCAGTTTGTCACTGGATGGAAAGGCAGCTTCAGAAGAGGATGTCCTTCCTACGTTCAGGCCGAGCATTTACACACACACATGCACACACACACGCACACACACACACACGTCTGAAGCGAGAGCAGAGAACACCTTCATCCGCTGAATAATGTGACTTGCTCTACACGGCTATACACAAAAAACACAATTCTTTACAGTTCCTTTAACATCAGCAGGACCAAACTGCACTCTTCCCTTTAGATAATCAAGAATGAAACAAGTCTTTAAACATTCTCCCAAAGCGCCCCCCCACCCATACGCTTGAGAGGATCCACTTCAAGGCTGTGATGATAAAGTTGTGAAAAAACTTGCCTCTCCCCCTACAGAGGGAGAGAGCCCAAGCAAAACTGCAGAGTGAATAACTGGGGCTGCCTTTGGGCAGCGGGTATGTAAACGTGACAGACTGCTTCAATGTCAGCGGCAGCCGTAGTGTTTCTGTGTTGTGTCGGGTACAATCTTTACACATTCACTGCTGCAGGTGTGACAGTTTTACATCGACTGCCTGTGTGATTTTTGGCAGACGTGTCTGATCAAAGATGATGCGTGCGAGGCTGAGAACGCCAACAGTTTTATTCTTTCTACACCCGATGAGCGGGTTATGTCACTGTTCTCAGGCCCAGTTGAGGTTGAAGCCTTTAGAGAGCATGACAGACTCCAGGTCCTTGTCTTCTTCTTTCTCCCGAAGCCTCTGCTCCTCCAAGAGGGCCACCAGGGCGTCCCGCTGCTCCACCACCTCCAGCATCTCGTTCAGGATCTGCTTTTCCTGAGCAAGCTCCTTTTCTGTCTTCAGGTGGTCTGAGAGAGACAAGAGAAAGAGAAATTTAAGGGAATAGCTCAAAAGCAGATTAAACTTATATTAACACAGTAAGGACTTTCAGATAGTTAGTTAAGGATACAGCTCAGCCATCAGAGCCTGACCCAAACTGTCCAAACCTGTCCTGATCCCAAGGTTTTCCCTGATTACAGACACGTGCACAGTAAAAAATACAGTGGACAGCCCAGCCAACATGACCGAGCACGAGCCAAACCTGAACATTGCTTCTAAATGTTTGTGTGACCCAATCGGTCAGGTCCTGACGAGCTCAGGTCGAGTATCCCACTCTACTGCCCATTTTTTGGCAATGTACAGGTGCATTATTTAAATTTGGGAGTCCACCAGAATAGCTTTACAGTTATGTTTTACACCATGCACTGCTGCAGCACCTCCTCTAAGCCACTGTTTCCTCGCAAAAGGTCTGCCCTGATTGGTCAACAAGCCCCTTAACCAGACGCATCCTGATCAGCTGCAAACACCGCTGTAGCCATGGTAACATGCAAAAAGACTATAAAAAAGACTACAACCCACTAAAGGAAAGAGAAAAACAGAGAATTTAATCATCGTTCTTGTGTTTACCTTCCACGGCCATCCGCTCCCTGAGTTCTTGCTGCAGTCGGCTCTGCCGATCCTCCAGCTCCAGCTCTCTGGCACTTGGGGACAGAAATAAAGTTTGGACAAGCTGAGTTTGTCTCACTGATCAATTACAGCTTTCAACATTTTTATTTGTGGCCTTTGTCTTCATTTATCTGTGCACCATTTTTTTTTTTTAAATGACTGGTTATTCGTTAAAGGAGACATTTATTTAAAGCTTTCAGATGAGATGAGACTGAGTCAGTTAATAACTTGTCATGAGGTAATAAAACGAGCTTCTCTTAATGGATTGCAAACGTGACCTCATATCATTATGTTGTGAAATGACCAGGTCTTTACAAGGGTTTACAACCTTTTTAAACTTATGATGTAATATTAATACTAATCATAAAATAAGTAAGCAGTAAATGGGTATGCTTACATCATGAGCGGATTCTGTATTATAATGATTTGCAATTTAATTTAATAATTGAATCTGGTTTTATTACCTTCATATTATATAATTACTTCATGGTCAATTAATCACATTTGCAGGTTTGTGGGTTGAGCTGGCTCCAGAGCTCCAGAGATTTAAATGCTGGTTGTTGATCTGCTCGTCATAAACTTTACTCTCAACAATAAGATGATTCCAGCCAGTTTTAGTGACAACTCAAACCCAGGTAAAATGTTCCGCTTGTGTTGCACAGAGGATAAAATCAACCTCGAAACTTAGACTTCGCTGCGCTGTGAGAATAATAATGCTAAAATAACTGGCCAACTACTAATGAAACATGGCAGTTTTTCATCTGGTAGCGCAGTGAGCGACTGCCCCCCTGCCCCTGGGTTTTTGACTCACAATCATGGGTGATGCAAATAACAGTCAAGCTAATGGTTTCACAGGTTCGACTAATTCAACCTTTATCAACCTAATTCTGCTTCACTTCTAGCATGTGGAGAAAATGTTGGCCTCTCTCTTTGCCTGGGTTTGTGAGTGGGTCTAATCACTAACTAGAGGAAACAATATTTTCTTTAACGAATCAGTTCCCCTCTTAGCTTATCCATCGAAACAATCAAGCAATGTACTTACAATATCATGAGTTCTGACTCATAGCGGACGAGGGCGTTTTTCTCCTGCACCAGCTTGAACCACTCTTGCATTAGTTTGGGATCGTCCTTCTTGCCCATGCCTGGAGGAAGAAAGGGAGGCACAGAGCGGGGGTGAGAAAACAGAGCGGGGAGACACTGATGTCACACAGACAAGGACCGACACAGGCAGTGCAATGACAGCCAAGCCAGGATGTCCCCGCTGAGAGATGGTGAGGTGGAAGAATGGACTCGACGCCAACGTGGTCAGTTGCCCGACATACTTAAAGATGTCGTGCAGAAGATGAAGTGGAGTTACTCAGTTATTCAACTGTGTTAAGTGCGCAAACACACACACAAACACACACCCAAACAAACAATACCTGTTGTTGCAAAGTTGAAGAGTTTGTGTTACCCAGTTTGGACATTGTGTCAGAAATAGCTGCTCGTTGGGAGCAACTACCTCCTCCTATTAGGTTTAATCCAGTGGGTAAGTAGTAAAAAACAAACAACACACCAATCAAAATCAAAGTTATTACAGAGAAATGAACCCAAGGACCGATAAAGATTCTCCATCCTCCCCTGCCCACATATTAATGCACCAGCAGAAGTAAAATCCCTTTCAATGCCTTTCATGCTGAGCGACTTGAGGATATGAGGAAAAGAAAAAGATTCATTCTAATGCTTTTACATATTTAATTACAAGTTCAAATGTTCATGGGATGACTTGTCATTGAGACCAATAGAGAAGTTCACACTCCTCTATTAAGTCTGCCTCAGGGACACGCATGTTCGGCGCTCCGAGCATCATGCATTGCAGCTTTCGTAATCCTCACAAGTCAGTCAGAGCACGGAGTCAATTCCTCTGCAGTGCCACTGCACCGTATGCAGAGGAGAGCCGTCTATGTGGCATGCTTAGAGAGGTCTGCTGCTGAGGGGCGATGCATATTTTCATTTATCTGACTGCAGCAGGTGGGGCCAAGCAGTTTCAATAAGACACCAAGAGGCGAAACCTCAATGCAGCGTGACATACTTAGCTGGGGAAGAGGAGGCTCTTGCAAAATGAAAAGGAAAAACATTGTACACACATAAATTGCATGGCTGTGGTCTCGGGGGCTGGCTCTCACTAATTAACAGACAAGGGACAGAGAGAGAGAGAGAGAGAGACAGAGGCAGAGATGGAGAAAAGCGTCTCAGACTGGTGAGGGAAGGGGAGACAAAGGAGGGATTTACAAAAGCACAGGTGAGTTTCCAAACCTATCGTACAATGGGTGTTTTTCATTCTCTCTCTCCACTGTTTCAACCTGTTCCACCACCAAGCTTCAGCTCAAGTCTCCAAACACAAAGGATTGAGGAGCCACCGGTTACAAAGGCAAAAAAAAAGAGGAACAAAATCCAGCTCACATACCAAAAAACAAGAGCACATCTCTTTCCACGGATTAGAAACTCAGGCAAAATTTCCAGTGTTAGATACAAAGAACAAACCAGGCGACCCGAGACTATAATAATAACAAATCCTCACACCATGCAAGTTTCTCACGCCTTTAATTATCATTTCCTAAATGAATGACACTTACTATACTCCTCATTTAAGGATGCAAACTCTTAAAATCAACAAAAAAAGTCATAATGCATGATTTTACCTTTAATTTTAGCCAAAGAGATCTCATGCTGTTGATTACACACACACAGCAGCAGAGTAGTTTCCCCTTTAATTGACTGCAGAGTCTAAAACACTTGCCAATGAGAATATTATTTTTCATTCAGCTACGTAATATAAGATGGTCATTCCCATGTGGTTAAAGGCTAGAACTGACCTGATTCCAACGCCTACAACCTGCAGCCCTCACTTCTAATTTTCAACTTGGAGAGGTTTCTTTAATAACATTATTTTCCAGGCAAGTCTTTTGAAAAATGCTGCCTTAAACGTCTTCATTAATATAAACAGCATTCACACAGTCTTTGATCACAAAGTTACGTGCTAATAAAAACCAAAAACGTTTCACATCCAATCTAGTCGTGATTAACTCCAATGGCATTTGGTTCCAACAGTCGTCACTTATCAGACACTGCACTGAACTCAGTGCCCCGTCGATGTCAACGTGTCAATCACACTGCTCGAAGGAGAGGAATGTGATTGACATTAATAAGGAGTTTGTGACTGGCGTTGGCTGACTCATTCGGAGAAACCACCCTAACAGTAGAAAAGATACCTCTAATGATTATAGCTCACACTGTTTAGCAGTTTGGAGGCAAACTGCCCAAGTCGAGGGTCATGTTATAGTCAAATTTTAGGGACAAGATTTTGAACCTTCTGGTCACTGTTTCTAGTTTTGATCACATCAGAGCAGGTTAGGTTGCCCGCAGGTAAACAGCCCGTGTGGAGAGCAAAAGAGGATCAAAGAACGAAATGCATCAGCAATCTGCGTTTAAATGTATCTGCACTCGTATAGAAATATCTGTTAGAGATCAGCAAAAATGTCTGTTTATGTTTTGTGTGAGGGAAACGTTTGATTCATTTGTGATGAAAGAAACTGGTTGGACACCTAAAAAAACTGTCCAATAACTGTATCGGCATGTGTTGTAATGCAGCGGACTTAATTGTGATAAAAATATATATTTCCAGCTTTTTCCTCATGATAAATGTCTCAAGAATCCGGGGAAATCTACTGAGCCCGATCACACACAAGGGTTGAGAACAGGAGGAGGAGGAGTGTAGGGGGGAGGAGAGGGTTAAGGGGAGGGTAAACCGGTTCCGGAAGTCCTTCGCGGTTGCCATGGTAACCCACCATAACCTTTAGCGGAGGCGGCGTGGGTTACGTTACCTTCAGGGGAACAGCAGGGGCAGAAGGAGAGAGGTCTTCGGCGTGGCATCCCCACAAAGGGCTCAACTTCCACAAGACAAGAAGGGAAAGAGTGTGAGGAAGCGATGCAGGAGGAGTGTGTCAGTGGGCGGGAGAGAGGAAGAGAGAGATGGAGTGAAAGAAAGAGTGGTGGACATAATGCAGGAGGAGGTTGGAGAAAGGGTGGAGGATGCAAAGGAGGAGGGGGGGGTGGCGAGGAAGAAAGAACATTGAGGAGAAAATCAAAAGAGGGCAGGAGCGCTGTGATAGGAAGAAGACGAATTACCTAGAGAGAGGAGGTGGGAGAGATCATCTGTGTGGTGTGAGGGATGAAAACACAAGGGGTAAAAATAGATAACAAGAGAAGAGAGAGAACCTGGAGAACGGAAAGGGAAAACCAATGCTCCCGTTTGATCTCGCTCCTGCACTCCTTCACATAATCTTCATTAAAAAAAAGTGCAACACTCTGTCTCATATGTTTGATTTCAAGTGTTTATCACGACTAAAAAACAAGTTGAATCCCATTTTAAGAGCCATTAATTGATCAGCAGCGGATTCGTCTCTCGTCACAGACGCGGATGAATGCTTCTTCTTTAATGAAGCTTCAGCCTCTGCTTGTCAACTTGACCTGGCTCTGTTTGTTCCAGTGTGGTGACTTTAAGAAGTAAAGCTCCAGCTAATGTGCAAATTAGGGACTTTTTCTCATTTGTCCCAAATGATTTTAGCCCCAAAATGTAAGATCATAAAATGGTGGGTGATGAAAAATTAATTACTTATATGGGGGGGAAGAGCTCCGGGAGGAATACAGAGATACAGACCAGGAAACAGACCTTTAATAGATACAACCAAATAAAGTATGAATCATTGCATGACACAAATATGAGATGGACACAATGTTCTTAAGTAAATACTGGAGAGTTGCTACAAGGGACTATCACAGAGGAAAAAAAAACCCCGAAACAAGGGAAAGTGGTCAGTGAAGGTGTTTCCATCCATTGTTCGGTGACGACTTAGAGCAGACAGGAACAATTTGAGAAAAAAAAAAAAGGAAACTGCGCTTTAGAATATCTGTTTTGGACGAATCGAAATCCTCGTAAAACGTTTATGGCTTCACCAAATCATGCAAATCCACGTATGAAATGCATCGTTACCACCTGACGCTCAATAAATTCTTAACTGTATGATATTCATTCAAGTGGAGGATGAAAATTAAAAGGAAAATTACATAAAACTTGTCAACCTAAGAGTACAGATATACCACCCCTGGCTTTAGTTTTGGTGCCCCCTGCAGGGCTCAAATGCAACCATGCACCCTCGAATCTGTTATTCAGTGAGAATGCTACAGTTCCTCATCCCATGATAAACCAAGACAAAGACGGCAAGCACTCAGGAAGCAGACGTCATCCTGCAGACACACGGCATTCACTTTAAAAACAGTGTTGGATTTGAGCTGGCGACACCTCAGGCCCCTGGTAAGCCGGTCAGCTTTTGTGGAGGTACAGTACATCTCGTAAACTCCATACAATCTCATGTCTGGACCAGCAGGACAGAACCACAGAGAAACACAGGCCCTGCTTGAATATGTGAAAATACTCCCTTTCCTCCTTCCTGTTTGTAAGCAGGGAGCAGACACAGCTTTCCAACGAAGCCGGTTGACTTCACAGCAGAGGAGGAGGAAAAGATACATTCCACTCATATTCAGACAAGGTCAGAGTCTACGAGATAACAACAGATACCACAAGGCGACTCAGCCGCACAACGGCAGACGCTGTTTCTGCTGACGAATCACAGTTTGGTCAAAAGGCCAAGGGATTGTCTATTAGTACATACTACACACACACACACACACACAAACAGGAGGCAACTGAGCAGGTATGAGAAAGTCAGGGGACAAGAACAGAACTGCATGAGCACAGAGGACTGAGGGGACTGAGGGGAAGCTACAAGCAAGGCCAGCAGTTTAGTGCAAGTCAGTCCAGAGCAAGTTAGACAATACTTTCACAGTAGAGAGTGAGGGTTCAGGGTTTTCAGGGTTTGTACATGGGTGTGAATACGTGACATTATCTTTTGTATGTGCTTTTTCCTCGACAAATAAAAAATCTGTATAAACCTCGACTAGGTGAAATGAAACATAATCCTATTTTAAGCCGTGTCTAGGAAGCTCAGAACATTTAGATGTTCTTTATAACATTTCTATAAAAGAAAAGTGACCACTGCAGAAGAAACAAGTGCATTCATTGGACATTTCGAGCCACACAATAATATACAGTCACTGCTCTAGTTTATGATGCAGTAGCAGGTATCTCGCACTGACCTAAAATAAACTACAGGTCTTTGTTAAACCAGGAGCAAAAGCTTCTCTGCAACAATGGAGCCACCGAGAAATATGATACACCAGGCTTTGAATACCTTCAAGGGATTTGTTGACAATATATGTGTGTGCGTTTGTGTGTGTGTGTGATATCACACAAGTCGTATTGTTAAAATCAAAATCCAATAAGCTTGTAACAATATTTTTTCCATTTTAACTGTCATTCTCATTATTAGTTCATTGCCGTTTGTCAGCAGGCAAAAACTTGGCTGAAGGCTGGAGTATGGGTCACAGAAGAACCCATTAACGTTAGGAGCAACTTTCATTCAGGAGGTGAATCCAGGAATTTTCCCTTTCTTTAATGTTGGAGGTATAAAAGGTTTTTCAAAAAATAAGCCAGAGATCTTTAATAAAAACAGTCAGACCTATAGCGTCCTAATAACTCTGAGCAGGTGAAACGTTTTGCGGAACTGGATAATAATCGGAATTTTGTGAATTGGGGTTGATTCTAATTCAGTTACTGTGCGATAACAATTATACTTTCAACTACACAGAATGGATATTTTACCTGTGTTTATATTTCCAGTTTCCAGAAAACTTCTGTGTACATGGTTTATGTATCTGATCTCAGTACATGTATATGTTATGCAACGATAAAACAGCCTTGGTGGAGGAATGAGCTCTTCTAGTTTTGGATTTTATTTGGGTTAATAACTTAATATGAATATGTAAAGAATTTTTTATGCATTTTTAAAAGATGAGCATGTGCTGTATGTAGTATGAATGTTTATGGTCCTCAGCACATGCAGCGTTTTCACTGGACTGCTCGTCGCAGCTCGTCTCCCCCGCTGCAGCCTCTTATTGTAAAGTCTGCTCGCTGCGGCACGACAAATAAAAGTTACTCATTAATTCAGTCATTCATCATTCATAAGTTTATAGAGATCAAAGATGATCTTAAGAGGACAGCATGAGGCCAAGTGTCTGATCTCCGTTTGATGTAAAGAGTGTCTGAATTTAAAAAAACCCACCGAAGGGATGTGGGGGAACGGTGGAGGGGAGGAAGGAGGAAGGGAGGGAGGGAGGGAGGGAGCAGAAAGTATTGAGGCTAAAAGCCAGCCAGCCAGCTAAGGTAGATATGAGGGGTACAAAGCTCAGGTAGTAAAACAAGGGGGAAGGACAGATTGGGTTAGCCATTAGGTTAGTTTCAAAGCGACAGATTTGAAATACATACCGCCCAGATGCAAGTCCAGGATTTCACTGTAATTAGAATCTCCCCAATAGTCTACAATGACAGGGATATATTAGAGATAGGAGTTATTTTACACAGCCCCAAACTGGGCACACAAACCAGCAAATCATGCAACACGCAGACATACACACACGGCACCAACACTCAAAACAAAGAGAGTCCATCAGTACTCACCACAGTGTATAATGTGGTTTGTGCAATATTACAATACATGACATTTCCCAAAAACGAATAGCTGACCGCTTCATAGATTTGTTGTCTTGCTGTGCACTGGCTCAGTCTGCTTAATTTCACACAGTTAACGGTCGTGCGCCGACAAAGAGGCAAATGTTGATTGCATTTATTACACAAGTTTGGTTTGACAATGTTGTCGTACGCTCAAATGATGATAGAAGATTTGCAGTTGTCAACAATCCAATCCATGTGCGCCAGTGTTTGACCACAATGATTTAATACTCAAGTTATTTCTGACTGGAAGAGCAGCTGAGTGTCGAGCGAGACCTTTGCGTGCAGGGAAACAAGTGGGGCTTGTGCTTACTCACCATGATAAAAAATAAAAAAAGATAACAGATCTCAGCAAATATCTGTATCAAGTCACTCAGCCACAGCAAATAATTCAGGAAAATATCCTGATAAGGAAGATGTGAGCCTGCAAAACCAATTTAAATTATATTTCTTACGTTCTGATTAGATTTATGAAATAACACGGCGTGATCTGAGTCTTGATCAGAGTACGGGAGCTCTCCTCATTGAGAGGCAGCGAGCACGACAAAATACATCCAGGATGAGCAAACACACACACACAAATCTATGTCGGGGGACACACATTCTCCCGATTGGCATGCAGCTCAGACTGACTGACTGATGGCGGACATGTCATGGACAAACAGAGATCAACATGTTCGGAGATGGAGAACTGTTGCAGAGTGCCACCACAGATGGAGCCCAAATAACAGTGTCACATGTCATTGAAAGAAAAAGAAAACTACAGTAAATCTAATACCTGATCTTCTTTTGTGCTGTTTGGGTAATGTATAAGTACCTTTATACAATCCTTTAAAAGAGTAGAGTAGTAAACAAGTTAAGACATACTCAAAACATTTGATCGTAGAAACAGCTGACGGGTTAAGTAGCTAAATTTAAAGAAACGTTCTGTGCATCTACGTCATGTGCATCAACTTGTTCGATAAAAAGATTTCGTTTCATTCTGTTACATCAAGTAAATTAGGCAGGCATACGCTGTCAGCACTTCAGAGAATAACCTCAGCACCTCGCTCGCATCACTTAAATAACGTGTTATTGCTACTGATCGCCACTCATGCTTCACACGCTTGGAAAACTAGCAAATAATGAACCGCGCTGCTCGCTGTTGAATAATGTAGTCTTCATCTCAGAGGTATATTGTCTGTGATAGTCCCCTGTCAAGACCAATTTGGGTTTTTTACTTTGAAGTAGCAAACGTGTGTTTCTGCACAGAATTCTAAGAGTAAACCGAGAATAGTGATTTTAACAGACAGTTTAAATTCTGCTTTCAGACATTTCCTGGAACTTTTCCTGCCTAGAAAAATGGCCAATAATTGAGCCCATGTGGGAATACAGCAGGAAAATATCCAAGAGCGAGTGGGTACACAGGACGAACGCAAAACTGGAAGAATATCTTACACTGAGAAGAGGTCAAAAAAGATGTCAATGTCGATTTCTGAGAGTGAAGAGTGAAACGGCGAAGTTCGGTTTTGAGGGGTCGCACCAGTGTTACACCAGCAATCTCATAAAGCATCGCAAAAATAACTTCCGCACAGTTTTAAACTAATAAAATACATTATATAAGCTACTTTCCTTTTTAACTGCACTTGTATTGGATCAGTCCTCGGTATTGGCTATTACGCAAAGTCTAGGTGTCAGAATCATAACAGAAGGTAACAATGGTATCTGAACACCTCTAGGGTTTGGCCACATTTTAAATATGTCTGAAAGTATCAGAAGTTGTTACCTGCTTCTCCTCTCAAAGCTTTCTCCACAGCGACGCCCCTCTCCTCCAGCTGCCTCTGCTTCTCCTCCACCTGCTCCAACTGTCTCTGGATAATCTGGAGAAGACAAGGGGTCACGTTGTTATTAATGAAATGCACATAAGCATAAACACACAGTGGCACGAGTGCTTTATAAAACAACTCAAGTTCCCGCACACAGGAACAAAGAACAATAACATCTACTGCTAATTAGAACTAATTTGTCCCAGAACCTGCAACGTGGGGCAGCAGTGGAGGTTACCTCTCCACTGATGCCACAGTTTACGCTCATTAAAAATAAATGTCTCGAGGTGCAATGGGAGTGCAGCTAATTAGAACTGTATTGATGTCTCCAAGTAAATGAACCTGCTCTGATTGGCATTTAAAATACAACTTCATGACTTTCACCAAAAAAACGACTTGTTCCACAACACACGCTCACTTGTTATTGGCAGCGGCAAGGTAAAGGAGGCAGTAACGGAGGGGATGCAGCCTCTTGAGACTTTTGAGTTTGTTTAACATTACCCGTTCTCAGCATGTCAAACAAATGACAATCCACAGTGACATCATGCATCGGTTTGTAAACTGCCAATTTAAAGTTTGGCATTTTGTCCAGTGGGATCTAGTTTGTTGTTGTCTTTTAGGAGTAACTCTATTTGAAGAAGCGTAGAGTGAGCCTGACTGAGAGCTCAGGGACACTGCACACCCACCCACACCTGCCACCTGCACCCAGTGGACGGTGCGAGCTGTAAATCACACTGTATCCATGCCCCAATTCGTACCATGCTTCATCATCTATTTAATGCTAGATGGGACAAAATTTACAAACTGAACATTGTGCTGTGTTGAAAAAGACTTGAAACTAGAGAGTGAGTCCATAAACCCCTGAGTAAAATGTTAATAAACCAAGTAATTTCTCCAATTTCTGTTCTTTTTAGAGCTACTGGAGTGGCCCTCTGCTGGTCATTCAAAAGAATACAGGTTTCAGGCACTTCCTCATTGGCTTCACTTTTCAGACCCAGAGTCTACGTCGATGTTTATATATGGTCTTTGGTGATAAACATTGATTACGCTGTACAAGTAGTGCACTGGGGCAGTTTAAACACTCAAACAATCCAAAGAGGTTTCTAATGGTGGTACTTTTCTTTAAGAGTCTACAATAAAACGAAGAGCAGAGTTAGACAGAACATCTATGTACTTCTTTATAAACTACGAATGATAAAATACAACTATAATCCCTTGAAGTGACATGGACATTTTTAAAGAAATTAATAACATTTTAGAATAATTCATTATAATTATGATGATGAATTACTACATCCTCTGTCCTGCTGCTGGTACCATTAGTCACAGACTGTCAGAAGTGTAATAACAGTGCAATTAATGACGATGGTGTCTGGATGGCGTGTGCGACCCGAGTAAAAGCAATTAGAACTGGTGTTTTTAGGAAATTCAGCTCATAGAGCCCCCATCTGGTGAAAAGGGGGAGTTGCATGTTGTGGTTGTAGTGCATGTGCAGTGCTTTGATAGATAATACTTGGTGGCTAAACTGGTATAAGCAGTGGTTACAGATATGTATATAAAGTGAGCATACACTTGAAAACTAGTTTCCTCTGAGTGTAACATCCTCAGTCAGAGCTCCACTTTATCGGAGCTATGCAGCAACAGGAGCTGAATAAGAAGCAGTTTGCAGCAAAATTGTAGCCCAGCAAACCACAGCTCCGGGAGAAAGGGCTGAGTCAGTTGACTGGAAGCCTGACTACAGAGTTACGACATCAATCTCTGTGAATTTCCTGAGCAAAGGATGAATTTGGCCTCATCCTGAGAAGGTTGAGACACATTTTAGTGACAGTAAAAAGAGAAATAAAACACAGAAAAGCAGGACTACTGAGTAACGGTGGCAGCAATAATAATGTTGTCCCGAGGTCCAAGTTCAATGGGAAAGTGAGCTCGGGCTTTTTGACCTCATTTCCACACACATCTGTATATAATCTCTAACATAGCCTGCATGTGGATCTGGAGACTCTGGAGACGCGGGACAAGAATTTGGTACTGGAAGGTTTTTGTTTCTCGTTTGACCAATCATGCTTGAGGAGGCTTTGGTTTCCCGCAGGTAAAACTCATTGATTGAAATTACTCAGTGCTCTGTTTTTTATTTTTCGAGCTGTTAATAGAAATGAACCAAAATGTCTTCTGGACCTATAACACCTATGAAATGTATGGCTGCTTTTGCTTTGTGTGGATAAAAAAGACTTTGTGATAAAGGAAACTATGACAGACTGTAAAAGAGCCTCGGCACTGATATCTGCTTTCTATAGCAAAAGCCATTGCCCCCAGAGGATAATTCATCATCAGTAGCTGATGGACTCAAAGATTTCTCTATATAAAACATATTCAATATGCATAACACAACAAAAACTATTTGTTACACAACCTCTGTTGAGTATAATAAAAAATAAATGAATCCTTCTTTTCCAGAATGATGACATTCAATAAGTTATAATTGTAAACAAACAGTATCCGTCTCTCGTCAGTAACCAACTCAGCTTGTCTGTCGGGTCTATGGTTGTTAATGAAGAAATACCTGGGCTCTGTGCAGCCGCTTGAGTTCCTCCTGTTTGGCTTGTCGCCGCGCAGCTTTCTGGACTCTCCGCGTCAGCTTGGCGTTCAGCTCTTCCTCCGTGTAGGTTTTCTGGTAGAAAGACAAAAACGTGGATTAAAAGAGGTCTCATTCGCAAGCTGCCGATCTGTTAGGTTGGCTCCAGAGAGAGGGCCCTGGCCCTTCAGGAAAGAAACGACTGAGCAGGAGAGGAGAGGAGAGGAGGGGGAAATTCTGATTGAATCTTCTAGAAGGTGTGGATCAATATCAACAACAAATTCTTGCTTCACTACCACATTTACACACTTATCTAGGATGAATAATTATAACCTCAAGGTATAGGAATATAAATATTTTAGAATACCATTATTACTCTATAAGCCTTCTTCACTTTATGAAACCTTTTCTTTATAATGAACAAAACAGTATGCGAACAAGCAGGGACGTTCCCCCTGTTAGCCGATGTGAGCACATGAAAAGCTGGCAAAAGTAGAAAGAAACAGAAGCTCTGAGGAAAACGTGTCGAAGTTATTCCAGGAGCCAGGCTGGAGTAAAAAACAGCGTCACAGTGACAGAAGTTAATATTATACCAGTCAGAGAGGGAGAGCCCCTGATATCAAGAGATGCAGAGGCATCATTGTGACCAGAAAGGTGAGCGCAAAAAGTCATGTTGGCACAGAGTGGGTATCCAGCGAGTGAGTGAGTGGGTGGACGGGCGCCGTGGTCCGACTTGTCGCATGCACCCAGAGCGGAAGTTAGCTCGAGGCCAGACGCACATGAGGTGTTATTATTGTAAACTGGCACATGCGCAGGGACGGGGTGGGGAGAGGTGAGGAGGTGGAAGTGAGTGGATTATGAACGTATGTAATACTACCTTCGTGGCGTACGATCTCTTGAACGCCAGCGCGTGAGGAACATAAACAGACTTGAGGGGGAGGAGGAGACAAAACATAAAAAAGGGGGGAGGAAACAAACACGATACAGATGATATGATTAAATGGGTTAATGATTATGTTAAAATTGGTCAAAATAAACCAAAAATAAAATGAATAAATGAATAAAAGTAATTAAATTTAACAGGTACGATCAAAACAGGCAATGTTAATTCCCCACATGAAAACAACATAAATAAAATGACAAGGTGCACAGGGATTTTTTTACACATCTATGTTAATTAGAATTAGTGCAATGATACAAAAACTAAATTATAAAAAAAATCACTGATATGTAACAGACAAACACATTTGAAGACCAAGGATTAAAGAAACCCATCTTCCCATAGAGTGGTGAGAGAGGTCCATTTATGATCCCTGTGAGAACATACATGTACTATCTACTATACTCACACATCTGGAAAACTATAAACACTACAACAGAGACGAGTCTACACGACTCCTGAGGGCTCTCATTTAATTACTCACGGCCTGACAGGCATGATGCACCTTTAACCTCCTATTACTGAAGTCCATCGATATTTATGACGGGTGAGAGGAAAATGTGCATTCCTCATATGTCGTGAGAAATGAAGAAAAAAATATAAAACTGGCAGTTTTTCTTTTTTTTAAAAAAAAAATGTGTTGACAATGGTTAATGGATTCATGCCTCTGGGCCTGAAGTCGACTGTATCTATCTAAACCACCAGACACACACACACACAGACTGAGCGGCAGTGGAGACAATTATTTTTGAATTTCAGCCATAAACATAATGAATGCAAATTAATTTAAAAAGAAGAGCTCCCATTATAGATATTTGGGGTTTTATTTGCTACATTTCTGCTTAATGTTGATGAAAAACATAATTTACGTTTATGGAATAGATATTTGTGTAAGCAATTTGGTGAAGATCCGAATAAAAATCCAGATGTAGTGAATTTTAATGTGATTTCACAGTTAGATCATGGTGCTGAAATGTGTCGTGATCTTGGTGCACCTTTTGTTATGAAAATTCCAATTCTACTTTAAATATAAAATGATTTCCAGGTCAGTCTTAGAAGCCAGAGGCAGTTTATGTAAATCTCTCAAAATCCAAATGTTTATTAGAAATTCCAAATCATCTACCACCACCACCGCGCAATACCTCCTCATCGCCTTTGTCCTTTTCCCGTTCAACCTCTTTTTCCCGCTCTCTTTCCTTATGCCTCTCTGTCACCCTCTTTTTCTCCTTAATCTCTCTCCTCCTCTCCTTTTCCAGTTTCTCCTCCTTTATTGCCTCCTTCTGAATGTCTGACACTAGGTCAAAGATGTCCTTATGCCGCTAGGGGTGGAAGAAAGTATTCAAACGGAAATTCTTTTTTTAAAGGAAACAAAACAGACACAGATGCAATCGACTGCAGACACGTGTATAGTCACAAAGCCTATGTGCAAATATTATCTCATTAGCTGTTGTTTGGAAAGGAATAATAGAAAAACCTGCAAAGGATGAACATCAGGTATTTTAAATTCGCTTGTGTTGCTGTGCAGGATGAACACATCACCTGCTAGAGAGCCATTGCTATTGTGTCCAATTTTCAAGCTTGGAAAAGAAAAGAAACGACGGCTGTACTGTCGGATTTAGCTGAAAAATGTGATGTGCTGATTCCTCCTTCACTACATCTTACATCGCCCAGATCAAAAACTCCCGCTGATCAAAAGGTTTCTGAATTTTCCAAGAGACGCTGAGTCACGTCCTTGTCTTAACCGCACCCCAGAGTTGCTGACTCTTCCGGTGGCTTCGAGCAGCTGATCCGTCAGCAGATGTTTTACTCGTTAAGTGTCTCATCAGAAAGGATCTTGAGTCAACTACAGCTGACTTTGCGACGCTTAACATGTCAAAATACTTCTCAGAGAGGTGACACGGCGGATTCTTTGGAGTGCTACTCACATCTGCCTTTGACTTCTGGGAGGATCTCTCCAGGACGTCGTCACAGGACAGGTCTGAATCCTCAGAGAAGCTCAAGTTCCTGCGTGTTTTCAAGTCTGTGACAGAAAATAAAACAATTTAATAGGATTTTGTAAATATTTAGGGAATAAATTACCTTGTTAAAAAACGATTTTAAGTTCTGGGACCCTTCTCGCACCTGAGGATCTCCCAGGAGATGATGTTCTCTTTTTCCCAGAGTCCTGAGTGGTGGAGCTGGACGACGGTGTGCTCGGACAAGATTTGTCATCCTTCTTCTTCTTGTCCTTCTTGTACCCTGAGAACACGGCCTTCCATAACGACTTGTGTTTGGGCGGCGTCTCATCGGTGCCAGAGAGCCGGCTGCTGTCGTTCTTGGCCTTTTTCTCCTTCTTGTTCTTGCGCGGCGAAAACAGGGAACTGCGTTTCTTGCTCTTGCTTGTGGAAGAGCCGTCGGATGAAGCCACCGAGCTGTCCAGGCTCTTGTTGCTGCTGAAGAAACGCTCCGGCAGAGTCTCTCCCTTCTTTGACTCCAGAGATTTCACGGCCGATGTTTTCGGCGACCCGGTTGATTTTTTACTTTTCCCTACGACATCAGGGGTTACGCTCCAGGCAACTTTAGGCGAGGCACCCTTGTCAACGTCAGACTCTTTCATTTTGTTTAACTGCTTGGCCATGGCGTCTTTCAGTGCCTGGCTCTTAACAGACTTTTCTCTGGCTCTGATTCTCTCTTCTGCGATCTCCTTAGCCTCTGGAGAGAATCGAGTTGCCCTCTGTGTCTTAGCAGCTTGGTTTACTGGGATATTAGGTTTACCGTTTTCCATCGCTAGAGCCAGATGCATTGGAGGTTTTTCTCTGCTGGGCTTGCTGGTGGGTGGAGTGTAATACTTGTTCATGCTAGTTTCTGGCGTCCGCTCGTCATACGTCTCCTCCACGTCATCGGCAAACGGAATCTCCTCCACCGTCTCCACAAACGACTTCCTCGCATCCACCGGTCGAGGCTTCTTCTTTTCTCTCATAACAACAACCACTGGAGCTGGCTCTGGATCTGCCTGGGGTGATGAGACTCTCCTGGGTGCAGGCTTGGGCACAGAGACGGGGCTCAGCTGGGTCCTCGGTGCAGGAACAGGAGTCTTGGTTTTCTCTGGCTCTTTGGCACCCTCTAGTGGAGGTTTTTCTGTTCCGTTGCTCCAAGACACTTGGTGTTTCTGCTGCCTGAGCACGGCTGGAGACTGATTTGCAGGCACAGGTGGTGGTGGACTGGAGGGCGGCGTGAGCATGGTGGAATCAGACATGTCGCTGTTCGCCGTCTGGCTTGTGGCAAGGCTCCCATTCAACCCCAGGCCGGAGCTGGTGCTGATGTCCCTCTTATCAGAGCCATTACTCTTGGGCTCCGCGGGAGCTAGAGGTGTAATGACCTGACCCTCAAGAGTGATGTTCAGTCTGCGAATGACAGCACGACCAGCGAGGGCAGGCTTCTGCTCCTCAGACACTTCAGGAGACTGTGTCTGGACCGGTGTGGGCTCCTGTGTTGGAGCTTTAACGACACTATTCTCAAAGATTTTACTACTGCGATCCAGAGGAGTCAGACCAAGGCTTTTTCTTATCTCTGCACTCTTTAACCAAAACTCCTCAATGATATCTGTCTTTTTAGATGGAGTCTCCTCTGTTGAGGAATCTATGGACTTCGAGGGCTCCGGCGTGCCTCTGTCAGTTTTGTTCATGGGCGTCGAGGTGACTGCCGGGACAGGCTGAGTTCTGACAGGAGAATCTGAGGTGAGGGGCGATGACGGTTCGTGACAAGGCAAAGGCTGGGCGCAGATCGGGGAGAGGGGGTTTCCTGTGAGAGGGCAAATGGAGCGGTGGGGGTAGACAGGAGATTTAGGAGTGCATGTCTCTGGTAGGGGGGTGGGCTGGGAGCAGATCGGTGAGCTGACAGGTGACTTGATTGCCGGCTTGAGCGGGGAGGCGATAGGTGATTTGGTGGGAGAGCTGGGGGGCGATGAAGCAGAGACATTGACAGGAGAAGCGGCGGCGGCAGCAGCAGGAGCCAGAGAAGCGACAGGTGACGGGAACAGTGGGCTTCTGGCTGCTGGAGAAGGAGTTATCCTCTCAGCATTCGTTTCCTCAGGTATGAACGGATCTGGGAAAAAGCGGGTGCCAGGAGACTTCACGAGAGGTATCTGGAAAAGAGATGGAAAAAATTCAGGATTTAGTCAAAACAACCATCGAGGTTTTCACTCACAGCACCATTCTAGTCTCACCTGTGTCTCAGGCTGTGGTGATGGTTTGAGAGGGGAAAGGACAAAATCTTCTTTCTGCAGTGGGCTGGTGCTGGATGGTTCTGAATGCACAAAAAAACAAACATGTAATTTCATTTATTTTTGTGAAATATATATACAGCATATTTATTTGTCTTAGCAATTTTAAGTGACATGCACCAATGCTGGAGGACACTCCCACACCTGATTTCCTGTCTTCTTCAGGAAGTGCTTCAGTGTTCTCTGACTGGTGTAAACGAGCCTCAGCTTCTGCATCTGAAGGGATGTCCTCTGGAATTAGAATATACCATTGTGAATTATTCTGTTTTACAGCTTTATAACTTTTAAATTTAAACTCAAATATAAATGTCAGTATATGATTGTGATAAGTTGTTTCTTTATCAAAAGGTTATTATTTGTATGAGTTTGACAGCTCACCCTGATCCATCTCTGTACCGGGCTCCACATCCGGGCTGTCTGCCTCTGCTTCCAGCTCTTCCTCCTCACAGGGCTCTGATGCAACAAAGATATAGCAAGAAATAAGTCTAACAGGTAAAACATCCTGTCTGCAGTCATCAAAAGAGTGAGAACATTTTGCAACTTCCTGACAACCTGAGCTTAAGAATTCAATAAACGCTGACAGGATAAATTTTGAACAGTGCGGCAAAAAAAAGAATTTAAGGTTGCAAATAATAGTAAAACTTAAATCCATTTATTTTGCTGAAAGCTCTCAGGAAATGTTCTGGCAAAAAAACATATAAATATGAACAAAGGTTGAGCATAAAGTAGCATTAGTGAGTAGGTCCATGCAGCTATCCATTTTATCACTGAGCAAATGGATGAACATCTTAACCAAGCGAAAGCAAAACGTTAATGACGTTGGTTAGGAGACGAGCAGTGATTCCCCCGCGTGAACAACATTTGTGTTTTAACAAAAACTGTAACAGGGAAATGACAAACAGCAAATTCATGCACCTTTGAAGTAATATCACAACATTAACCATCACTTGTGCTAAATGCACCGAACAGGCCATCGTTCATGTGGGTGCATGAGCACACAGTGAGAGAACATCTAACTCTGGTCGGTCTTAGCTCAGGAAGATCTTTACTAAGCTTTTAACCCAGAACATAAGTGCTGCTCATGAATCCAAACATGGGAGTAAGGACTCTCATCCCATTCATTCAAGCTCTCAAAGTTGATAAAGTACCTCAACAGCCTCATTCTCCGAACTCTGTGCCAGTAGAAGTGCCATTAAGGGGTTAGTCCAAAAATATAACAGGAACAGTGGTATTCCAATGAAATACCTCACATATTACCCATTACGGCAAGAAAGCCTTGATAGCTCATTGTCTCTGGAATACATCACACTCGAATACAAACCAACGTGTAAGTTAAGAGAAAATACACGCTTCAGAAGTTGGAAAGGGTGGGATGAGAGGTTGGGTTATTAAAGGTGAAATAGAGATGCTGCTCTGATCCCGACCCTCGAGAGTGACAGCTTTACAGCTCGCATGCTTTGTGAGTTCGCTGGTCTCTGCACGTGTTCCCGCATGCTCCAGGAAAAGGCCAGCCAGCCGATAGACAAGATAGAGTACAAGTCTAAGACGGGATGTTGTCATCCCTTTGAAGTCTGAGCTACCTCCAGACATGGACTCCAACCAGACTCTCACTGCCTCGTGTCGGGCGGATGTGTGGGCAGGTGCTACGTTCACACCAGAAGATACGGATACGACACAGAGGGATAGATGGCAGGGAAATAACAGCAAAGTAATTAGACACATGGGAAAGGACACGGCAGAACACAAAAAAAAAAAGAACAAAGCGGAACACAAAATCAAAAGGAACTGACAAGGGGGTTATATGGTGCACTGGGATGTGGTTGGAGAACTCCAAGTTCACCCCAGCAGACCAACAGCAACTCTGAATGACAAATTAAAAGACTGGAACAAAATTAGACATTCCACAGATTTTAAAAAAAGCACACGTGACATAAATGTACAAAATCAGAGGTGATTATAAAAGAAAAGGTGGGTTAGTCAGGGGAGGGGGGGCTCCTCTTGTCGCAGACACAGACATTAAAACAAAACAGCAGCAGCCACACGGATGAAACGAGACCCTGGCCCAAGCCTTCCCAGGTGTTCAACTCCCTCTGGGTGGCGTTACCTGCTGAGGAGGGCTGAATGAGCTCAGAGGGTTGAGAGAGCTGAGAGGTCAAGTCCTTCTCTCCCTCAGACTCCAGGTGGGTTCTCACCAAACCCAGGATGGCCTGGGGATCCACAGGCTGCAGGACTTGTTGGATCAGCAGGTTCCTAGCTAGATGGCCGTGTCAGAGTACGTACCAGTGTTGTGTTGTTGGTTTGAGAGGGAGTTGTGTGAGGGATGAGGGCGGATGTGCAGGGAAAATAGAGAAACAGAGCGGAAGAGGAAGAGAAGATGAGGGAAAAGACAAAAATGAGGGAGAGGTAGAGAGAAAGTTAGAAAACAGCAGTAATGAAAAATCATCAGAGGTGAGGAGGATGGAGGCTGCATGCACTAGACTGCAAAAAAAGTCAAACCACAATAGTGAGCTTCAAAGATATATGGTTAAATCTAAAGACATTCTGCTGCTCAATACCAGACCACAACTGCAGCCCCTGGGTGGAAAACAAAAACAAATCTCTGGGATTGATCATATTAGTATTTTAAAGCCATAAAGAAAAACTGGGTTATTTTTAAATAGCAGGTTAAAGTGGAACTTGAAGAAAAAGAAACGCTTTCTTTTAAAAACACAAGGCAACCATCAAACCACAACACACAAAACATAAAAGGAAAACCACTCTCTTTGTAGGAATCCTTGAAAAATGAAATCCAAACCAGCCAGGATTAAAGATCCCATTCAAAGTTACTGCAAACACATCCACAGGCAGTTCTGCTGCTACCTTTAAATGTACCAACATCCTCTTCGTCTGTCAGGTGCTTCTCCAGCCAGAGGCCAGACTGCAGCTCTCTGTCCCAGGGGCAGTAATCCCCTTCTGTCAGCAGGGGGACACAGAGGCCGCCCCGAACACAATAAAATAAAAATACATGTGCGTACACATAGACAGTGGACACGGGAGGGGGAGGAAAAGGAGGAGGAAGGGGAGAGTAATGGTTGAGACAGTGACATTACACAGGTTACAGATTGAACTGTGCTAAAAACACACATGACACTAGACAGGGATGTAAACACACAAAACAACAGGAAACAACAACATATTTTCAGGCTAAACAAGAGTGAGAATAAATCACCTTCGCTCGACTCCTCATCATCCTCTTCTTCATCCTCATCCTCCTCTTCATCTAGTTCACCGTCCCTGCTGACTGCGTCGCCCAGAGCCTCATCCTCCTCCTCATCACAGTTGTCGCCCCTCAGTTTAGCATGGAGCTCCACCGCCTCCCTCCAAGGAACGCCACCAAGATCCGAGGGACTGGTAGGATGTTCCTCCAACTCCTCCTCCTCCTGGTCTTGATCCTGGTCCTGGTCCTGATCCTCCTGCTCATCCTCCTCCTCCATGTCAGACTCTGAGCTACTGTTAAAGATCAAGAGAGTTTAAATACAGAGTGAGTACAAGTGAGATTGTTTCCATTTTCTACAGGAAGGTACAAATTTGTTTTTTCTTTGTATTTTATGTGGTGATATGATTAAACAGAAATATGCACCACTTCTGTATCAATTACTTTTTCATGCAGCAAAAAGCTGCAAGCTGGAATCGACCACATGCCACAAAGAAAAGCTGCATATTCTCCCAAACAGGGATTGTTGGCATTTCTTAAGCTACAAAATGCAGCTTCTTTACCTTTAAACAGCAGCTCCATTTGAACTCATTTTTCACTCCTCACCCTGAACATCTGATGACAGTCATACCCTAAAGTGTCAGAATCAGCTGTAGCTGAGTTCTAGAGTACATCGTAGTAGTAAGTGACTGTAGATCAGTTAAAAAATACTAAGACAACAATAACAAACCAGAGTTTCTCTCTAATATTCAGCATGGAAACTTTTCAAAACAGAGTTTGATGCATTTGTTGCAGCTGCAGCTCTTCTGGTTCAGGAAGCTGTGGATTATGGGTAATATTCACCGTTCAGAAAGTGGGACTACAATGAAATACCCTTTGTGGCTGCAGAGGGCGCCGTTGCTCTGTCACACATTAATGACCTAAACGCTCAATAGATTCCCAACATTTGTTCTTATCCTCATACCTGGAGCCGAGGTCAGCATCTGTGGCCTTGTCCAGCACGCTGCTGAGGTTGTGCTCTGCCAGCGTCTCCTCAGGCACCTCCTCCAGCTCCTCCTCCCTCTGCAGAGACAGACGGTAGTTCTCCAGCTCGATGCGCTCTGGAGTTCCACGCAGGCGTTTGGCCAGGCTCGGCTCCTGCAGTCCATTGACCTCCAGTGCTGAGAATCCCAGGTGAAGCAAAGGCAGATGAAAAAGAGCAACAACAAAACATGAGAATCAGGTACGGGGAGACAGTCCAGAGCAGAGGAGTGTAAATCTGTACATCAGGTTTCATGCAGGACTGAATGTAAGAGCAGGGGAAAGATTTTCAATGTATTCATGTCTCTAGATAAAATTTACTGGAGAAAACCAAATCAACTAAGTTGTGTGTTCTGAAAACTATTGTGATTAAAGGTAGTAATTAGGACAATGTTGTGCATGTGTGTGTGAAAATATCAGTGCAGTAGCATCAAATGCATCAAACAAACTCGTACATTTCCGCACAAGTTTGTTGTATTTTTACCTTTTCTCATTTACCCCCATTAATACCAAAGCAGTTTTGTGTTTTAAAGGACAAAGCGACAACAACACACCAATTCAACATCTATAACTGAATTTATTGCGTTAGATTTTATTCCTACTACAAAAGTTATCAACAAACACAAAGTTACTCTAAAGTTCTACTTCTACAGTTATAGGTACAAGGTTGCTGCCTTGCCTTTTTCCCATCCTGAGAAGCAAATCTTAAAACTGTTCTTTGAAAACTTTTGGTGAATGTGAGTGGAATTAAATAAGTGCTTTACACATTAAAGTGCATGTGTTGTCTCTGCACAGTTGCCCCCAACTTTAGTTCTATAAGCAATGACCCCTTGGAAATCCCTCTAATAAAAGCAACTAGTTACCTGTCAAATGCAGTTTACACAGTTTCCATTATATTCATATGTATCTTAAATATTTAAAATAATGATAATCCATAATTATATCATGAATTTTACTTAGATTTCAAGATTAAGATGAAAGATTACATTGTAATTTAAGTGACTCATCCTAAAATGGCTTTTTAATTTCTTGAAGCCATTATTTTGACTTCCTATTACGAGATATGATCAAAAATGGGATGAAATAATTTCATTATTACTATAATAATGTATTAATTTGGACTAATTTGTTACTACGACACTATTTATGAGTAATAATTTCAATTTATGAAACTACACTTGCTGCACACGCAGCAGGCCAATACTTTGCTTGTTTGAATTTCAATTATTAACTTTCTATGCATCCTATCAGCCAACCCATTTTATCTCTTTCAAATCTATGTAATTATATTGAATTATAATATGCATAGCAATATATGCAGTTAGATGCACTAGACTGAGTTGGTCCAAGCAGTGGTGTGTCAGGGGCGGGAGGTCGAGGGATGCAGGGGGGACAGGGCAGCCGAAGAGGAGCAACAGGAATGGAATGGAAATCACCAGGGAACCAATCACAGGCACTAATTCAAAAAGGAGTTGAGTTCTCAGTTTTAAACTGCTCTGGTAGGAGGGGGGAAAGGTAAAGCTCACAAAAGCACTGATACAGGCACTTGATCACAGTACAGTGAGGTTCAGTCAGAGGGTAGCAAACAGCTTACACAGAGAGAGAGAGAGAGAGAAACACATCACAAGGCAGGCTCTAAAAGAAACACGTCACACAGGAGGAGGAAGAGGTAAAAGAAAGAGAGCAGCCGGAGGAGATTACATTCACAAAAGAATAAAACTTGGCTCTACATTAAAGGACAGGCAGGAGAAAACGTCTTATTTAACATTCAACTTAGGATATATCAATGATCAATGATAAATTTGTACTAATATTTTGAGTTTAAAAATGTTCCATACTGCTGCTTAATCAAACAGTAAAGACGAGATGCAGTAAATGAATAAAGTGCTATTAAGGGTTTATGTTGCTGCCTGCGGAGCTGATCAGAAGAAACTCTGTCCAACTCTTTAATTATCAAGCCAAGAAAAACAAATAAATTTAAGATGCACCATTCACTTCCAGAGTGATTCAGCCAGAGTGATGCAGAGTGTCTCAGCCAATCAAAGGCCATGAAACAGAGAGAATGCTGCATCTTCCAGGAATAAATCGAACACTGAGAATTTACATTTACACTCCGCAGGCTCAGTGAGGCAAAACAATCGGATACATCTGCACATTAGTTGGCAAATAGTAAAAAGAAAGGAAGGAAGGTGGGACGAGAGAGTCATGCTAGAGTAGGTTGAGCAGGACATTGATGGTGAAACAGCAGAAGAGGTAGATGCAGTAGGTGCACAGGAAGGGAGAGTCTAGGGGGTTGCGTGCCACCTGGTGGCAGGTCCAGGAGAGCGTGCGGCCAAGGGTACGCAGAGGAACTCCCATGACTGTGGCCAGACGGTAGGGTGCCACAGCAAGAGAGGAAAGTGGGGTACCTGAGGGCTGGAGCTCGGACGAAGGAGTCACCGCTGCCATAGCCCTTCCGGGGGCATCTACGGCCGACGTAGGAGTTTGGGGCGACTGGTTCTCCTGCGAGGAAAGAGACAAAATGTTCTTATCTTAGTAGAAGAGAAATTATAAAAGGCTAATCAATGCTTCTCTCATCTTATTCCATGTGCCACTATGTACATAAGCATTGCCTTTTGAAGATAAAGCAAACAATTAATTTCTTCATTAAATCACCATCCAAACTGAATCTGTCATCCACTAAATATAAACAGGTACCTTGGCTGTGATTGGAGCTGGGGAGGGAGAAGGCCTCTTTCTCTGAGCATAGCCAGACAGACGGTAACAGTAGTGGGGCTTGCAGTAAAATTTCCCTGCAGAATGAAGAAGATGGAAAGAGAGAAGGAATAAGCAGAAATCCTGAATGCATGAATAAAAGATGTACAGTGCATATTCTCACCTCACAGAAAGCAAAGGCTGTATCTGTTCTGCAGGAGCAGACTGTGTGTTTGTCATTTAGAATAAAAGACACTTCCTTTCTGTCTCATTTCAGTGGGTACGATGTCCCACGACAAATTCTGGAGAAGCAGCGTTTCTGTCTCACTGAACAATCTGGTGTTTGTCCTTGAAAACAATAGACACCTCACAGAGAAGAGGACTGTGGAATCATGAGACTTGCTCTGCGGTCAAAAGGAGGTTGATGCTGAGTAAGAATTTAGTTTCATTATTGCATCTTTAAAACTGTTTTTTTTATAGAAGTTATATGTGTCTCTTTCAGTCCATTCATTCCATTGTTCTTTGTATCAGAGCCATGGGTGGGTGGGGAGGTTGTGGTGCACAGTCTGACTGTGTCTGTTTTGATACGACCACTTGGTGGCGCCCAAGTTGCAGATTGTTTCCAGAGAGGTTTTAAAATTCAGCGTCTGACATGATACATTCAAACTGCTTAGGTTTTGATTAGTGAGCCTGAAATAAGTTTAATTTGTTTTGCCTGCAATTGATGTTGAAAAAGTCTATAACAGATGTCGTATAGAATAAAAAAAAGAGTTTGCTCCTTACCATCCTCCACATCAAAGGCGTAGGAGGACAGTCGTAGCGTGGTGCCACAGTAGTCGCACTTGAAGCAGCTGCGGTGGAAGAATTTCCCCTCGGCGCTCAGCCTCTCCATCACGTACACGCGCTTTCGACAGAAGAAGCAGACATCGCTGCCTCCCAAGTTGACGGGGAACTCTTTTCTGAGGGAGCCCTGTGGAACGATAAAGCATTTAAATCAGTCATTACAGAAAAATGGGGAAAATCAGAGAACGGGGAGCGAGAGGACTGGTTGCATTAAAGAGAGAGAATATATTAACAAATCCACAATCACACCAGGCCACTGTTAATTCTTTCTGGGTATTGAGCTATTTTATAATTGAATAAATACATCACAGCGATTCTAAGGGTTATTTCTCATCAGGGACAAGTATGAGCAGTAAAGACACATTTTTTCATCCCCACAAGGGAACGTAAACTTCTGTTACTAGTCGAGCAAACACTCTACAGGTAAAGGGAGATGGATCGAGGTGCAACTGTGACAGAAAACTAACACAACAACGTTATCAACCACGGGTCAATGCACAAAACAACACTCTCTGTACAGTGAAGGCTTTGAGTCACGCAGCTACACTCCTTCTTCCAGCGCTTGAACTACATCCTTACCAAATCCCTCTTTTCAGGAGGGGGCTTGGGGTCATCCTGAGACTGAAGCTGACTGGCTATCTGCTCAGCCAATGAGCTAACTCCCCCAGTGTACATCCGCACATAGCGCTATCAACAGCATTAGAGGAGGGAGTAGAAAAAAAGAGACAGGTGAGCAAACATTAGAAGATGATAGATGGAAAAAGAAAGAACATGAAAAACAGATGGTGGATGAGTGTGTGAGGAGGTCACAGTGTATTAACGGAGGAGGCGTTCACAAACAGTCGTGTCTGACAGGTCGTTTAGACACGACACAGCAGTGTTTACATGCTTGAGCAGTCAAGCATTCAGATGTGCAGTCGGCCCCAAAGAAAGAGTGAAAAAGCAAACATACTGTGGTTTTAGGAAAACAAGTTCAATACTGATAAAACAACTCCTCAGGCGAACAAGTTATTCCATCAATTCCACGCTACGTGTTACTTTAACAAAGAGCATTACTGGATTTGTGACATCAGGAAGACAAGATTAACTATATTAGTGTTTTGAAAGACAACAGCTACTTTGAATATCTGTGCTCCTAAAATAACGTCAGTATAAAAGATATTTTACATAATGAACAATGCAGACACGTAAAGTATTGTCTTAATTCATGTCTTATAGATTTGAAAGTAAATGTTTTCTTTGTATTTATAGTTTTTTATGAGTTTTTAGTTCTTTAGTTTTTAGTTAGTGTACATAGTTACAATCCTGACTGACTCTGTACCAGGATTGGATTTAATATTCTATTAAAACTCAACATAAAATAAGCTTTTTGATCCTCAGTGGAAGAAGAACTGAGGTCACATGTGGCATGAGCAAAACAAAGCTGTGAAATTACTCTCACTGCAGATGAGATTTCAGTTCGCTTCACTTCTCTGTGCTGAGCTACAGACCTGCTGCATTTCGAAGCTCTGCCAGAGCTGAAACTGTGCTCGTCAACACGGGAGTTAGACTAGATGAGGTTTTTTTTCTGCCAAGCAAATTCTAATCCAAAACAACATGGGGACTCCCCTGGCAAAATATCCACAGGAATCATAATTGAGTTCGAGTGCGCCTCCAGCTGAGCATATCATGATATCACAAAGCTGATTACTCATGCACATATTTGTCACAAACACCCTCAACAATTGACAATTATTAAAGCAGGGCTCCAGTGAGCTCAGGCAGTGTTTAGCAATTTTCACAACTTAGTGAGACGATGCATATTCCTGACGTAGGGTTGCAGGTGTGTTAGCATCACCACACGACATTCCTCAGGGGCATGACGACACTACCTGTCTGTCAGAGGGAGACGGGGGAGTATCGGGGGGAGTCTGGGTTCGGGCCAGGTACCATTGTTCCATAAAAAAGCGTGAAGGCTTCTTCTTAGTCTCCACGTAGGAGGGGGAGAGGAGATGAGTTAGAAATGTAGTAAAGTTGAAGAAGGAAGAAAGTTTAACAGCAGACTGATAATCAGCTGTCTGCATTAACGGATAAATTTCACCTGAGGTCCGATTGACTTGCCCTCCAACTGAGAGGTAAGCTGCTCGGCCCTCTCCTGAATACTAAGCACATATAAGGGCATTTGGTCATCGGAGTGCAGAGGCCTTGCTGACTCCTGCAGAGAAATAGATGATTCAATCACCAAAGGGACGTACAGGGAGGAAAATGTTTTCATTCTCTGTCTTTTTAGTGGTTTTCCAAACACAATCTCTCTTTCCAAAGAGCATTTCATTGTGGCATAGAAGACTTTGTTAGCCATTGTTTTCATAGTCTTTAATTTGTGTAGAAATGTAAGCCTGAGTGGGTAAACTGTGCCCCGCAGTTAGTGAGGATATGTTGCAGAAATACCTAACAAATCAACAGAGTGCACTCGAGATAAATAAACAAGGACTGAACAAGCTTAAGTGATGTCGTTTGCTCAAAGTGAAAACATCGACCAGAGGTTATTTCTCAGTGGGACAGAGGGAGAGTGGTGTGTTAGTCCACAGCACCAGAAACAGAACCTTTCTAGTGGAGTCAGGAGAGGAGACCGGTGAACCGGGACCCTCAGTGAGGCCTCGGGACAAGTGCCACTGCTCTAAAAAGAAACGGGACGGCTTTTTCTTAGGCTCCATGGAGAGAAGAGGGATGGTTAAGAGAAGGAATTAGAAAGTTGTTTTTTTTTCAAGTGTAAAGTAAAACCATAGACTGTACTTAAAGATGAAGCAAAAATATGTTTAGCATCAATACCTCGCCATATCTCCTAGGAGGTCCAACAGTTCCCTTTTGAAACCACATTTAAATTCAATAGATCCAGATTTCTATTTGAATCTGAACCCCACCAGAACATTTTTAAGGGACCGATATATTCTCTGAGAAATCAATGGAAAAGTTGAAATGTTAAAGAAGGAAGAAAAACAATTCCTGTATCAGCCCCCTGATCCAGATACGCACAGGAATGTAATGGGCTCCTCCCTGACCCATAACACATCCTTCCACCAAGTTTTCATGGAAAAGTAGTTTTTGTGTAATCCTGCTAATAATCAAACAAACACCTCTTTGGCTGAGGTAATTAAAACTAAACCTCACAGATTTAAAGTTGAACAAAAATCTGTGTGATGAGAATGTCCTCAAATGACAGAAATCATATTTGCTGTTTACCAGTTTGCGCAGCTTTGATGTTGTCCATCTTTAGATACAGTCTATGAGTAAAACAAAAATGACTTGGAAACCGTGTTCACACAGAAACGTCCATGCATGGTGTTCACCTTTGGTGGTTTGTCAGGTTTGCCCTTAAATCTAGAAATCAGGCGGTCAGCCCTCTCTTGTATACCGGGTATGTGAATGGGTCCTGGGTCTGTCAGGTGCAGGGGGTCCCATTCCTGCCAAACAAGCTCCATTGAGACTTGATGCTGAGTGGGTGTCGCTATCGGCTTAATGCTTTCAATACCAAGGTTTCATATAGGGAGAAGCCTGGTTTATTCCATGCAGATCTCTGTTTACAGCAACTCCGACCATTATCTCATTAAAAAATCCAACCACAAACAAAAGCAAGAGCAGCAACAAGCTGAATTCATATCCATGCAAACAAACACTTTACCCCGTGTTTCAGAGGCCTCTCGTAGTATTCAAGCTCCTCTTCCTCTGGACTTTTACGTAAATTCTTAAAGGTAGAAATGAGCAGATGCTGGTATTAATACTTTGCATCGAGCAGAAATAGACTGTTACAAGAAGCAGTCTTTGCTTTGGAAAACAGCTTGTAAGACTCCCTGACAATGAGTTAAAATGACCCTGAATCGTGATTTATTTACAATCTGCCACATTCCAACAAAAACACCTTTCAGTGTGAAAACAAGCAGCTCTTCTGATAATGACACACACACACACACACACACACACACACACAC